GGTTTTTGGCATCTCAAGTGCAAGGGAGTGGAACTGCGAAACGGAGTGGAAGTTTGGTTGGTAAGCAAACATTGAATAAAACCCATCAAAACCCCGACCACTGAATGCTCGGATGGCAAACAAAAAAGTGAAAAGATAATTCCATCAAAGATTCGCAGTGATAATTGTAGACCAATTGATATGAGATATGCTTTCACCTAACAATGGGACGCACTTCTAATGCCACTGCCACCCACCTGGCGTTATTTCAGCATCCCAGACATGTCCCAAGCGCCGCTCCGCGGTCTCAGCGACATCAGATATTCTGCTCGCCTAAGTAGCCAGCGCCCATAAATCTCCGGCAGTTGTTGTAAAAGTGATTTACATACTGAAGGCAAGAGAAGCCCCGGTGGGAGCCTACCCAGGGAAGCCACACTTTCGCTATGTGTGAGAGAGCGGCAGAGAAGAAATTAAATTTAAATTTGCTTTCGTCTGCATTTGGAAAAACTTTAAAAAACACTCGCAAACATTTATATCCGTAGCCGTACCCGTACTCGAACAAACGAGCAAAACGTAATTTGTGCTTCTTTTTTTGTTTTTTTTGTCGTCGTTCGTCTTCTTTCTTATTTATAGTATTTTGCATGCATATTTGATCAAAAACAATCAAATTTTATGAGAAAGTACGAAAAACAGCAGACAAACATCTTGAAATGTTTCGGGAAAAACGAAAAATGGAAAAGCTGTGTCTTCTTTTTCTTTGTTTTTGTTTTTTTTTGCGCAGAGTGTTTTGTCTGGTGTGTGTGTGCGTACAATGTTGCATAAAGATCTTTTTAGATGAAAGTCTGTAGTTTGGTTAGGAAGTGCAAAAAGACATACATTGTGTGGACTGTAAGCAAGAAGACGAGGGCCCATTATGACAGCAAAAAGATTAATTAGCATGGATAATATCTACACACATCAAAGGGGAAACAGGAAATGAGAATGGGGAAAAGAAGTGTCTTAAATATTCATCTGAAGACAGAAGTTTACTCTCCAAATTTAAAGACCGGTTGGGTAACACTTTAAGTGCCTGAACACACCAAATATTACGCGAAATATTACGATATTTTTTAGATATTAGTTAAGTGAAGAATCTAATTTTCGTTTCAATAGTTTCTGTGTAAGACATGCAAATGTGTGCAACTAATATTTACGACTGCAGTTAAGGCGAATATGTGAGTCTGCCTCATTGAGGTGCGAATTGACCCAGTCGCAGCAACATTCGAAGTGAAATTTCGTGATAATAAATTTGATTTTATTTCAAGAGCCCTTTTGCATTGAACTTGAATATTTCAATGGCCCTTCCATTTAGTATTTTCCTACACCATACAACCTTGAGTTGCTTTATGATTACTCCACTTGAAACGAATTTTGTCAACGACTTTGAACCCAACTGTATGATCTGGTTCCACATTCGTCAGCTTCCACTGTCAGCTTCACCTTTTGTCGAGCAATTTGCACTTTTGGTTCGACAAATTTGTAACTGGCCAAAGGAAAAAAAATGCATCATCATCGTTGTCGGGGCTGTTACGCATTACTCGCCACGCCCATTTCGCTCCAGAGCCCATATCTGTACGTAAAGTGAAAGCTATATACATAATTTCCATCTGTCTTCGTCTGCGTCTCTGTGGAAGTGTAGTTTTTCACTTGTTTTATTTTTAGCCCAAAAAGTGTTGCACATTTTTCACATGATTGTGTTAATCAGCTTTTGCCTTTCTTATAAACTCTATACTATGCTTAAAATAATGCGAATTTTTCGCTGTATTTTGTCCCAGGTCGACATTTGACCGTTTTACATAATGTCTGCCCCGTTGGGGACACCACAAAATAAGGCCGGCTGTCTCTGGGAGGGGGCGTTGTTTTTGGAGTCCACACAGGCATAACCAAAGTTGTCTGTTTTATGATCCACTAATAACGGTCATATAGTTATAGACTACGAGTAACTCTGTTTGGCCGTGGGCGTTTGGTTGGAATTGCAAGTGGAATTGGTCTGGGCCGGCTAAAGCTGTTAGTCATCTGGTCCAAGAGGTGCTAAACGGCTGCGGTCATAAATTGTTATGATGTACTACATAAATACACATATACATATGTATAAAGCATGTAAACATTTTGTGGGCTTTCACTTGCCAAAAGTTGCGTGCGAAATTTGGAAATGGTACATATAGGGAGCTACGGTGAGAGCGGAAAGGGAGTTTCACTACCGATCATGCGGGTTAGGTGTGAAAATTCAGCAAAAATTATTTAAAGTGCGGGCTGCCCTTTGTTGCTCTAGATGTACACATATTGTTTAGTAGAAATAAATACTTTAATTCCATTTTGCCTATTGTTTGGTTGCCACTCTCTCTCACTATAGATAATCTCTCGTTAGCTCTCGTTGTGTTTGAAAGCCGTCCCATGCAGCCACAGCACCAACAGCAATATAGGGTAACAGCAGTGCGACTCTCACTTTGCAGCATGTGGCTGAACTTTGGGCATCTCCCACTATTCTTGAAAAATACACGACCTGTGGCAAATTGATGAACAAAAGCGTTGATTGCTTCGCGGTGAGAGACAGACTTTTCAATTTTCTTCTGCAGTAATTCGCCACCCACATGGCGTACTCCTGCTGAAATAATTAGCTTTCCCATTGCTCGCCAGCAGCGTGAAAAGCGTACAAGAAACATATGTACATAAATGTGTACATACATATGTGCTAGCAACAACACGAATAAAATCAAACAAAATGCGAAATAAAATATGTACAACAAATCGCATGGATGCAATTACAAGTGTGTGAATGTTTCTGCGAGTGTATGAGTATGTGTTAGTGAGTGCATGTCTGTAGCTGATTGTGGCAGTCGATCCAAGTGCTCAGAGAAAGAAAGAAAAAATATTTAAAAGAGAGTATGAAGAGCAACCCACAAACAAACTCTCTTGTTTTCTCTGCAAGCCCGGCTTGGAGAGAGAGAGAGAGAGCTCTCTCTATTTCTCTGTGACCCACTTTTGTGACGTTCGTCGGTTCTAAATAATTTCAGTCACGATCCAAGTTGCAATGAAAATAAAAGTAAGACGGCTATGAGGTAAGCCCTAATCCATAGCGAAAATAAATTGGCAAAAATATAATTTATGCTAATTCATGCGAAAGTAAAGCATATGTCATAATCATATTAGATTCTGACAATTTGACGGTCAATAATTATTGACTTTTAAAATACTTTTCCTGCTTCAAGTGCTTTGAACTCGATTTATAGCGTGTATCGCGTGTTAATGAAGCTGCCTGCCCAACATCTGTCCGGCAGTTATTTAAGCCCAACCAATTAATGAAATTAATTAATATCAATTGGTAAATGCACAAAAGAGTTGTGTAAATAACGACTACAGCTACATGCACCAATGTTGTTTTTCCCCTTGGGAAAATCACATATCAATATTTAAATATTTGCACAATTTTGTTTCCACAAACAATAAGATTGTCTTTTCGCTAAATTGCAGTACCAATTATAAAAAAAAAACATGTTCTTTTCCCAGTAGCAAAAAATAATTGTTTACCCATCAGTTGATTGATTGACTGACTGCCAGACTGATTGAGCGACTGACCAACGGACCAAGGACTGACTGAGCACTGAGAGTTGCAGGCAGAAGCGAATTGTCAAAGTGAGCGTGAAATTAATGCAACTGCGTGAATTAAGTACACAAAGCAAATGTTTGCCCATAAATCAGACATTTAATTAATGCCAGTAATTCATATATTAACTATTGTAATAATTTGTTCTTTAAATAATCGAGTGAAAATCCATGCGGAATGTGCATATGTGCATGGATGTGATAAGAGAGAATTAATTAAATTTTCCCATGCTCACTTCATAATTTTGTTAAAGACTTTTGTCTAGGCAGAAAAGTTTATTCCCATGCGCTCACATTTAGATGGACTCCATTTAGGTTGAAGTTAATGAAAGCCAAATTCTCACACCCTTTTTGAAAATTTTTTCCCCAAAGCCAATTAGCCCATATCATGTGTATATTCAGCGTATCATTAGTTTACATCTCGACGCACTCGTTGCAACAGTTTCGCTATTTTGGGCCACACAAACATTGCACAATGACGGACGCAGTGGCTCAGATCTGTGGCCCAAACACCTCTGAATGGTCAAAACTGCCGGGGCGTCCGTCGACCATCAGCTAATGAGCGGACAGTCAGTCAGTCAGTCAGTCAGTCCAACGGGCCACAAGCCGATCCGAACTTAACAGAACTGACGTTAGCTGAGTTCTGTAAAAGGCCAGAACAAACAGTAAAAAATGTGAGCCAAGAGGGGGAGACGGCTCTGGTCTTTTGGCTACTTGAAATAGTTGAAGTTGAGTTGAGTTTTTTTTTGTTTTTCCTTCTTTTTCTTTTGGGGTTTCTTTTCATCTTTGTGTGCCGGCCCCAAGGTGCTACAGCAAATGAGTTATGAGAAGAATTGAATAAAAAACAGCACCACGAAAATGTATAAAGATTGTAGCATTTAAAGTAGAGCAAAGATTGAAATAAAAAAAGCAGCAGCAGCGGCTAGATTAATAGAAATATCTGCAATTACTATGCTGCTGCTGCTGGAGCACTTAAAATTTCACGAAAAAGTTTAAGTTTTTTTTTCCTAGATCAACTTAAGTTTTACTTCAATTATATAGACGAGTACGAGTATATCTAACTCCGCTGACCCTGAAATGTCTTTCACTTTTAGCTGACCAAAATGGCAGCTGCGAAAACGGAAAGTTAAACGAGAGCAAAACTCGGATCTCTTTCAAGACTTCATCTTCATGTACGAAGCAGTCATTCAGCCAAGCCACCATCCAGCAATCCATCCAGCAACGTAGTACTCGATTCATTCAATAGGCAATTATGACCGGTTTTCAATTAAACTGAAAACTGGAACTCAATTGCATTTCCTCTTTCAAATAAACTTTAGATTCTGGGGTGTAAAGAAAGAAAGAGAGAAAGAAAGATATCTCTCGCTTGGATCACTTACCGCTTGGGATACGGTATACGGCGATATTTGAAGGCATTTTCCACATCGCGCAGCTTCATTTTGTACGAACGATCGGCGCCCAAAGACATTCAACGAAATACACTCGCAATAAGATAGACACACACGCGTTAGATAGATCACTGGTGATCTTCCAAGATTCTCTCTATCGATAGATATGTTTGTCTGAGAGAGAACTTTCGGCCAGCACTTCACAGTGGTAAATATTTAATTTTTGGGGCAAGCGGCTCCAAGTGTTAGCAGAGCTACGAGAGAGACACAGACGTCTGGAGCTCACAACGTTCGCGGCTTAACTGAATGTTCCTTGGGGCACTTGGCCGCCTTTTTGGCCAACTTTGAGTCGACAGCGACGGCGCACGAGCGTCGGCCGCTTAGCGCTTACGTTTTTACCGTTCATTGTTGTTGTGTGTTGCTTTTACCATTTTCTTTTGCGGCTTACTCTCTTGGGCAGATCTTTCGTTTGCTCTCTTTCGCTCTGTTGTCGTCTCTTTGGCCCAAGCCGAGCTGAATATTATGGGACGTGACTGTGGTCCATTTGTTTGTGGTAACATTTTTATATTACCAGTCGTCTGACATTAATCTACTTGGGCATATTTATTTAGGTCGCTCATATTGAAACACTGTGTGTTCTCTATCGCTGGGGAATATAGTTCAGCCAACTGTTCAAATATCCTCCGGTGCCCAATGTACAACCTGTTGAAACAGTTGGCCAACCTCAATATTCTTTTGCCCAAAAAAGAAAAAAAATACCCAATACTATGGGACCTCCACCACGTTGGCAGATACTTAGAACATTTCTAGCTAATTTTTGTTACTTGAGGAACAGGTTTACCTTTGAACTTCTCCCCCGCCCCTGATAATTATTATAATGGGCGGCCGAAAAGCTGACCTTCCCGGTTTCGTAATTTCCATCGATTAGTTTTTGGCGTTCGTGCATAATTTACAGATTCTTCTCGATTCTTTTGGCCTTCTTCATTATTAATTTGCCTGCCAGTATTATTCTGGATTCTTGTATAATTTTTCGCAGAGTTAGTTTGGAAATTTCTATAGAAGCTCTGTTCTCTTAGCCTCCGCACTTGCTGTCCGCAAAGCTCATTGACCCTCATTGGCTTAGAGGCACTTGGTGGCAACAGTGGGCGGTAAGAGTATGCTGACCGACTTGCTGAACTGTGTGGTGTAACTTGAAATTCTATGAAAGCTATACTTTATATGATTAAAAACGAATGAATTCCATTTAAAATTAAATTAAAAATCAAATAAAAGTTACACTTAAAACATATACTTACGCAGCTGACTGTATCGCGACTTCTCCACCAAATGGCGTCTGTCGGCTGTGCCAGACCCACAACTATCTGCCTATATCCACACTTTTGTTCGGCAACAAAAAAGCTGATTGTTTAGACTATATATTTTTTGCGATTTTTTCAACAAGCTGAAAATTCGTGTAAATTTCTCGATAACAAAGGCAAAAAACCAAAAAGTGCCAGCGTCAACATAAAACTAATGAAAAAGTTAAATAACAAAAATAAAACGAAATGCAAAAAACAGCTACCGGCAACTGGCTATAATAAACGAGTATATGTATGGTAATAATTGAAAGTTTCTGTAATTAGCACCAAGAAGGAAAGAGAAATGAGTGGAGAAAGATATGGCCGATCAGATTGATAAGTCATTTGCATAAAGAAGAATTCCAGTGGCCAGTTGCAGCGATGATTTGGACAAATTAATTGGGATTTGTGACCACACTTCTATTGCCTAACCCCAGATAGTTGGCGCTGGAGAGAGATGCCCTGATGACAGTTTGTGGTGCGAGGTCCATCAACGGGTACTAAAGTTTCGTTGTGTTCTTCTGGTTGTTGTTGCTGCTGCTGGTCTGGTATCTTTCATGTTTTGTTTCTGCTGCCAAGTGCTGGTTGTTGTCGTACGAGTATTGTTGCTTTTCGTTGTTGAAAGCGGGATTGTGTGGGGAACAGAACTGGCCCCTGCGTGTGGCAGTTTTGCTGAGCTGCCAACTCGATTGTAAACAACTTCAATTGGCCCTAGGTGCAAATACGAATACAAATATGCCCATATGTGTGTGCATGTGTGTGGGGGAGGTATGCGTGTGTGTACATCGAGGGTGGATAGGAAAGTACCGAAGGCACGAAATGTTAGTGCCGGGATATGTAGTACCGAAAAATGGATATCGATTGGCATGCCACGCCCAGTTTGGTGGATGTTTAACCAAGATATAGGGTGGCGCTATATCTCGAGTAAAAAAGGTCAGATAGGCAAAAAAACTACTTTCCCTGGATCGTGGGAGTCCAGACTGTTCAGCAATATCCTTTCTTGTTTTACTTTCTCTGCACTTTTTGTGCTTAAACTTTTCTACTTTTGAAAGCAATTCGTGGCAACTCTTTCTGCCCGCCTCGTTGACATGGTCCCGTGTTTTTGTCGCTTATCAACGCTATTTCGACCAGGTCCAGTGGCCGGCAACACACCTAGCGGCAATAAACAGAGTCACAGCACCGAGAGACCGAGTAAGAGAGAGGTCAAAAGGTGCAGGAGGAGAGTGCATACACTCTGTGCAGAGCACACAACATGCCGCTTGGTGGCTTATGTTTTATGCGGGTTATGGGAGAAACCAATTCAACCCCACCCCCAAATCGAGCCATACCAGAGCAAAGAACCCATGCCCCAAGGCTTTCAGTGTCCAGAGTCCAGCATCCAGTACAGGAGTATAGGAGCAGCATAGAGCGGCTTTGGCTTTAACACCATTTTGTTCGATGTGCAGGATGTCGAGGTTACGGGATGTCCACTTGCCCCGGATGCGGGCAATCAAAATCTGTGGCCTACTTGGCTGCCAGCTATTTGTGGCACGATTTGAGTTTGTCGTAGTTTTGGCTTACGGTTTTCCCCCCAAGCGTCACACCGGAACCCGGCCCGGAACATGGCGCAGCCTCGCACTTAAATTTCGAGCCATAAATAAAGTCAGGTGGTGTATTTTTTTTTTTTAATTTCGTTTTTGTTTAAAGTTCTCTTTTGTTTTAATTGTCATGGTTTTTAAATACTCGTTTCATCTATTTGATTCAGTGCGTCATTATTTTAGGGTTTTCCTTTTCATATACGTATAATATCCCTATATAAATGTTTGGTTTAGTTTTATTTATCATACAAGTGAAACTTACTTTACTCTATAAATCGAACCTCTGCAAACTGAGGAAAATATGTGACCAAAAAAAAAGAGAGAATCGAAGAAAATAAATTTCGAGAGAGCTCTCTGCTCTTTCCATTTGCCTTTTTTGTTTATCTATTTATTTAGTTTTGTGTTTTTTTTTTTTAAATTAAATATGCGTAGACTGTACGCGTTTCGACTATTTACACAGCTGTCTGTATTTTTATTATTATTTACCATCTCACACATTTTTCCATTTCCTCCGCCGTCATTCTCTCCGCCATATTTTCTCCACTTTATTTTCGAACATTTCAAATAAATTACATGTAGTGTTTTTTAATCCGCTGTCATATTTTATCTTCGAATTTTTCTACTTTAAACACAGTTGGCACAGAAATTTTCATAGTTTGGTTTGATTGAGAGAAGGAACTGAACCCCGAACTGATGATTGAGATGATGTGTGTGACGACGATGGTGGCCAAGGATATAGTAACAGCTTGGGCGCTGCTCTTAAAGCTACTTATTTTGGCATTTTATCTTGCCATTTTATCTATGCATATACTCGTTTATGTATATCGTATATTTCATTATTATTTTTTCTCTTATAGTACAAATGTATGTGTAAAATATCCTATATGTATGTTTGCTTGTGTCTGTGTTTTGGGAAATAATAATTCTTTATTTTCCATAAAATTGTAAAAAGTGCGCATCGTTCTATCGTTTTTCTTTTTCTTTAATATTTCTTCTTCCCTTTTTCGGCTATAAATATTTAGGTTATTTGCTATCGAAAAATGCAACTGAAAATATTTGATTTAATTCGTGTATATATTTTCTCTTTTTCCGTTTTTCAATGCCGACTAAATTATATATGTATGTTTTATGGAAGTTGCAATTTTAATGGATTTTGTCTGCATATGGCAGGGGCTGTTGCATTTTTTAAATTCTCATTGCAGACCACCGAAGGTATTAATATTTTTTTCTTTTCTTGCATTTACCTAGTTTTAGTGTCTATAAAATAAAGTACTTTTGTCCTTTTTTTTTTTGTTTGGTTTTTTTTGTTTCTTTTTGGTGTTTTCTTAATCCTATCAACTGCCAAAAGTTTGATTGTTTAAATGGGTTATGGGCCATGCCATGGCTTAAATGCTAGGGCTTGCATACAATTTCTGTTTTTGCTTTATTTTTATTATATTCTTTTTACTTGTTAAGTTAGAAATATGATTTATTGCAGCTACAAACATTTGGGAAATTAAAAATAAGAGCTTGATCCTGAAAATAATTGCCTGATAAATATATTTACATAAATATTCGAATTGGTTTTTGCATTTTCTTATAGAATATTCTGGCAGTTCTCTTGATTAAGTTGAAGAAGTGAACATTTCTCTGGTTTTCGAGTTCTACATTAATCGTTAATAACAATTTTATTTCTCATACGATTGTATTTTTATGCATGTATAATAAACCACTAAGTGATGTTTTCTGCTCTATTTGTGTGTGAGAAGTGTTTTGTGTGCTGTGCTTTACGATTAAAAACCCAAAAGTGCTGCCCTTCCTCATAGACGACTACTAAGTATATACTAGCTAATACCCTATACATGTATTGTTAATCGAATCATGAGCGTGTAGTACCATGTAAATGCCGCGATTTGGTTGTGTTTAAACATAGTTCAGTATGTGCATGCCTTGGATCACAACACTGTCGAGACTTCCTCCCTAACTGTCTAATCTTTCTCCTCCAAATGCTGCTATCTCTCTCTTTTATCATAGTTCCTTAGAAGTTATTGCCAGAGCGGCCCTATAGAGTATACGCTTAGGGATCTGCTCTTTGAGTTGCTCTTTTCTATACAATTTCATTGTAGTTTCTGATCTTTTTGCATTTAGTTCCTAAATGTATTTGCTTACTTAACTTCCTTTTAATGGGTGCTATGTGCTATATGGTAAATACTTCGTCTACTACGAGTATTTGCCCCCGAATTATTTGCTGTCTATCCGAACTAACTGTATTAAAGGTACCTAATTTACAATAGTTTTTTTTTTCTTGCTTTTTGGATTTGTTGATGCATGTAGTCCTACGAAATTAAATGTTGAATGAATTAAAAAAATATAACTCAAATTAACCGATAATTTGTGAAGTCAAGAAGAGGGAATCACGTTTAATAAACAAAATTTATCTTTATCTAGGTTTCAAGCTGTTTGTTTAATATTGAGGAAATTATGTAAAAGTCTTAATATATTAAATAGTTTCCGCAATAAAACTGGTTACGTCATGAAAAAGTCTCTGAAATTCTTTCTTTGTATTACAATAAAATAAACTTGGATTGCTTTCCCATAGATTTGAATATCACTGTCCCTAATTTTTACAAAATCCACTGAAATCTTGCCCAAATCTTGACTTCTGTCCCAACCAAATAAAATATCTGCAAAATATATACAGCTCGGTAGTACTAGTCTCAAACAAAAACAACACACAGAATAAAACAAATTCTATAAAAAAAGATCAATCGGCTGATCGACTGTCCCCATGACTATGCACCATGCACTCGTATATTCCCACTCGATTGGTTACTCCCAGAAGCGTTTAGAAAAGGTTGTATTGACTTACAATTTAGTTTTATATAGTGTTCATGCTTCCCCGCCATTCATATACCTTCATCCAACATTCGCAATAGCTTTAAAATCTCCAGGCCAGACCCTGAACTGTGTCAAGGGAACCCTGCTGATCGCTACGTCAGGCTATCTCCATTCCCAGCTCCAGGTTCTCGTCGTAGGGCATGCCACAGCCGGCGGCAACATATCACACGGTGGTCTCCCGATCCACATGTATGTACTCGACCGGCTGGTGGCCGTGTCAGGAGGCTGGATCGATGAAGAGGGCCTCCTTCTTGAAGTCCTTTTTGAGGGTGCCAATGCTGGCGGCCGATACATTCCCATTGCTGGCGCCATTCATGAAGCCAATGCCCACGCCCACGCCTCCAACGCCACCAACGCCGCCGCCCTTCTGCACGACACTCTTTTTCCGCTTTCGCATCAGTCCGAACATGCAGAAGATTAGGCATGCGGTCAAAGCGGCAGCGATGCATCCCAGGGCCGCAAAGACGCCGCCAGGCAACTCCAGCAGCTTACGGGCTGTGCCGCATTCCTCCTCCGATTCATCGAAGCCGCTGGGGCAGTTGTGATGACCTGTAAGCACGGACAGAGGCAGAGAGTTGCAGTTGCAGATTCAGAGGTTGATTGAAAAACTGAAAATGGATGGGGATGGGAGTGAGGTGGGGCTTGGGAGTGGGTTGTTGGGCTCTTGCTGTGTAAGAGGTGTCTTCTCTAAGGTTACAAATTGAATGCAGTGTCACTTGAGTGGCCCGTCGGGGCCAAAAGCTTGTTTAATGCCCTGGCTTTTGCGGTTAACCAGCTCCAGCTGCAGTCCCGCCTGGCTGCCCATAAATAATTGAAGCTAAAAGCCAAAGTCCAGGCCAGCCTGTGCTTTTTTTCTGTTTCTCTGCCCTCTCCCCCCAATGAAAGGATGCATCATATGTGGGTATATTGGGATTGCTATGGAGTGTGCTCGAGTTTGCTAAATTTTATAAAAATCTATTTGATTAATCTCTAAATGTTTAGTACACTTAAATTATTAAATAGATAAATGGTGAAAAGAGTGTTCAGAGAGACTCCAATAGTTTTTGCTTCGGCTGCAGAAAATAAATTAATCTTAAATATATTTCTCTTCTTTTTCGCTCCTTAAATAAGATCTTCCAATGTTTTTCTTTGCCAGACTTTTTAAAGGGTATTTGTTCAGTCGCTAACTGGTGTCTTCCGCACTTTTGTCTGTCGCTTTTTTTTTTCTCCTACTTTTCATCTCTCAAGCGCAGCACAAATAAGTTTGGCACAGCTGTTGCGGCTATTTGGGTTGCTGCGGGGCTGGACTCGACTCTGCTGGGATAGACTGGACTGGACTGGGGACAAACTTTTTGCGCAAGACATTTTGGGGTTTGGTCTTACTGCTGCGGGTTTGTCCAACAACCAGAAGACCGACCAGTCGACCGACCGACCAGCGAACCAACTAACAACCAGCAGCGCCAGCAGCACCACCACCACCGACTGGTAGCAGCAACAGTGGGGCGGTGCAGCTGTTGGGAAACTTTGCCTGATTACAAAAACGTGGACAGCTTGCATTGAAATTAACAGACAGGACATGGCCACAAGTGAAATTTTGTGCTGCCTACTGCACAGCGCAAGCAACACGAGACTGCGAATGTGCAATGGGAAATGAGAAACGAAATGCAGAGCGCCAAATCACGTACAAAGAATGCAAAACTCCAGGCAACGAGGTACGCTAGAAGAGTACGTTGGATTGCAGCATAGATGGGACGTTTTATAACGCGATAAAACACTTATAGTTTGATGGCTTTGATGGTGTATAGATGTAAATAAATATACCTCTTTTCTATGTGCTAACTAAGGATAAGCCAACCCTCGCTGCCTCTCACAGTCAAAGAGATGGGGAGAGGGGGTAATAGAACTGTTTCTGCCGCAAGTTGCAATCTGTACTTACCATCACACCACAGGCTGGCTGCTATGCATGCATCAATTTCAGGACATTTGTATTCGCAATCTGACTCCTTCGGATAGAAACCAAACTCGTTCAGTGTTTCGTTGGCCGTAGCACCGCTTGCTGTGCCGCCGCCTCCAGCGCCGGCAGCTCCACCACCCCCGGCCACTCCAGCGCTGCCCGTGCCGACCACTCCGCCAGAGCCTGAACTATGACCAGAGGGCTGGGAGCCAGTGCCAGTGCCAGAGCCGGAGCTCAAGCCCGTGGTCACGCTTGCGTTCGCATGCAGGTCCAACTGCTGCAGCAGCGCATTCTTGGTGCGGTGTATCTCCAGCCATGTGAAGGCTATATCGCCGGGCTCCTTGAGTATGGGCTCCAGCACCAGACTGATGGGCCTGCACGGTAGAAGAGACGGGAATTGGATTGTGAGAGAGTGGAAAAAACATTCAGCTAAGTTGTAAACATTTTGGCAAGAGCCTCAGCCTCTGCCTCAGCCTCCCCAGTCACGCTGCCGCGAATGCTATGCTCTACATAACTTTCGTGGCAAGTTTCTGGCCGTGGAATGGCGGACCTGATGCCTTTGAATATCTCCCTTTTGCGGATATCTCCTCAGCCTAGTTTGCTCAAGTGCAACTAATTACGCACAACTTTCCAGTTGCCATAGACAAAATATATCTCTTTTAGTTGCCTTAAGTCGTGGGGTGGCATTAAGCGACTTAGCCATCAAAGCTATTGCGATTTCAGCAAAAAGAAGAGGCAAATTGGATGCATTGAGAGCAATCGAAATGGAATTAAGGATACTGCATACAGTGCCTTAAAAACGTTCCCACTACCCATAGCTAGAGATAATTCTAACTTTGATACTTAATTGTTTTCTTGATAAGCCCTTTTCATGCTTTACTTTAAGCCACTTCTGTCAGTTTGTCAATTTTAATTCACAGTCGAGTTGAAAAGCTCACAATTAATTATCTAAAATGGCTCGACACGCTCATTAGCCAGCTCGGATATCCAGTGCAATGTCCAATTACCCTTTGGGGTCCCATAAAAATATGTTTTCACATGTCGCATGGCCACAATGCAACATTCCTTCTTGCCTCCTTTTTGTCTCCTTTTTTTTCTCTCTGTTCATTCGCTCTTCTCTGTCTCTCTTTTTTGATGGTCTGTGGCGACAAAATTGAGCAAAATGCAAACATGGCCAAAAGGGACAAAAAAATGTTGACCATAAAATTTAATGGGTACACGATAAAAAGAAGAGACGAGACACTGACCGTAGCAGACACTGGTCCTCCGAGCACAGTGGAGTCCCAGCTATGACTTTCAGAGCGGTTCGGTGGCACGCACCTTGAACATAAATTGCCGGGGCACATACGGAACGCGGAGTGTGCTCTCATACCTGTACCACCAGCCTCGCATCCCTACGGAACCCATTTTCCATCTGTCTTCGCCTCATGTGTGCATGTCTGACGGCCATGTTTGTTTGCCTGGACTTCGTCTCGTTTCCTTTTTTTTTTTTTCTTTTTTTTATAGCTTTCTTTCTCTCTCTCATGGCATATTTCTTTGCGCTCAATTTCCTGTATTTTGTTGCCGTCGTAGCCATTTCCTGTTATTGCATTTTTAAGCAGGACTTTTTAATAGAGAGGGAGCGACAGAGAGGAGAGACTTATACGTCTACAGAAGTGGGTACTGGCCGTAGTGCCAGCCGAGCAAAACTTTTTGAAATATTAGCAACTATTAAAATGCAATTAGTTTTGTGCGAAAAATTCCGAATAATACTCAGAGAGGCTAAGAGGCTTTCTGTGTCGGAGCAAACTAGAGAGAGAGAGAGAGAGAGGCTCTGCAGTGCTCAAGCAGACTTAACTCATACGAGGTATGCATTTGATAATGGAATGGGTCTCTGAGCCATTAGGCTTGCATGTTTTCTTTCATTCCTCCTTTTTTGTGCAGCTTTGGCAGAGGGGAATGGGTAATTGGTATGGCAGGTTGAGTGGGTGAAATCAGAACATACTCGTACCCACACAAACATACATATGTATGTATGTATCCGCTTAGCTACTAAAATATGTAGAAGAATTTCCTTGTTTTAGTCTTCTATTGCTTCTTTTCGATTGAATTGTCCCTCCCATAACCTCATCGAAATATTTGAAAATTTGTTTCTCCACTTACTTGTTCATGAACAGAGGCTGTCCATTGGTCCAGTCCTCGGAGAATATGTGCAAGGACATGGGCCTCGGTCCACTCTGTGCGGGGCACACCACTCGCATGGGCTTGAGCGGTCTGCCCGAGTAGATCATCAAACGGTTTTTGGTATGACAGCGCATGGCATCCTCGGATGTGGGATCCACAGGTAGATAGGCACCCCAGGTCTGGACAAAAAGAGAGCGTTCCGCGGACTGGGCCTCGATGTACCAGGCGAGGCCTTCACAGCTGGCATCTTGCGTCTTCAGGGGATACTTGAGCTCATCCTCGCCACCGGCGCCCTTCAGCTTCAATTGCTTGCGACAGTCCGGCTGGCGCTTGAACTCGTACGAGGCGGAGAAGAAGACATCGGCAAAGTCCTCGGAGATATTGAGGCGAGTCACCGTGAAGCTGAGCTCCATAATCCGCGAGTGGGAGACGAACGTCAGCGGTGCGTTGTTGTACAGGGCACTGGAATTGTCGCAGAAGCATCCCAGCTGGATTTTCACATCTCGGAAGGGCACATCAAAGAGCCGCAGCTCAGTGATGCGACCCTCCGGATCCAATTGATTGCATCGCGGCCTACCCGTATGCAGATCTGAGTCGGTGGTGCAGGCGGTGCCCTCGCCAAAGGAGACATTGTGCAGCACCAGCTTAACCCGCTCCGACGGACCCGCCTCGAAGCGGTACAGGCAGGTGATGTTCTTGGCCCCACCGCGGCCGTAAAGGAAGACGTTCCGGGGCACCTGGATGTTGCCCTTGCGCTTACGAAAGATTCGCGAGCAGAGGGGCGGCACAGGATCCTCGCCACGCCTGCCTGGCCAGGTGTCACCACCCTGTTCTGTGTCCACAAACTCGTAGTTCAAAGCGAATTGTGCCGGGAACAAGGCTGTTCCCGTGTGCGTGTGGAACTCCAGTTTCTGCAAAGAGAAAGGGAGGGAGGGAGGCAGGCAAACTGTCAGAAAGAGAGTGATGCAGAATCCGAGCGGGGAGGGAGGGAGGCTTCAATTTGGCATCAAAATATTTGCAGTTCATATTTGTCAACGGCAACGAGGAGCGACGCCGCCGCGCCGTCAAAAAGGCTAAGCAGGCTTATTGCGGTTGCCTGTTTGGCCGTGCATGCCATCAGTGGCGCCCACCACTACCAACCCCACACTTCCCACTCTGGCTCCCCCTCTGTATTTGGCTTTGTGTGCTCTTGTGCTTTGGCGAATTTGAATTTGGCGCCCGCCCCGAGGCTTCGCTTTGGTTCGCTTCGCCTCGCCTCGCTTCTTCGTTATTTGCGCACGTCTGGCGATGCAGTCGAGTGTTTAATTTGATTAATTTTGTCAAGTTTAAAGCAAATACGAAATGCTCTGCATACTGCCAAAAAACCCCCAGCTGCTGCTGCTGCTGTTATGTTGTGCTCTGCTGTGAGAGCCCTTGGGCGTGCCAAATTGGGCACTCGGCACTCGACCGGGCCAGGTGCAGTCACAAAGTTCTGTTTCTTTTTTTCCCGAGGGGCAGAACGAAATAACAAACAGCAGCAGTAGCTGACAAATTAGAAAAGTCTTTTGGCTTGTTTTTCTATACACTACCAGAGAAGGTTTGCCAAGGCACGTGGGCTAGGATTTTCCACAATACAAAGGTGCATATACATATGTTTTTGATTAGAATCAAGAGCCATGTAGCTGGCTATGTATTGCATTTCCTGCTGTCTGTTCTTTCTCAGAATAACTAATACTCTAGTTCTATTCGAGTTGGGAGGTATCGGAAGCAACAGTCACGTGTGTTGGTGTCAAAATATACAGACAGAATTTCACAGTATTTTGATTAATTTAAAGAAAATACACCTGATCTTCCAATGCTTCCAAATGGTACGGTTTTTTGTGGCCTGTGAGATCATATCCCCGGGACATCCCGAAAGTATGCCATAGTTCTCATTGGAGCCATTTTATTTTAGGGCAAAGCATTGCCTACTTTTCGGACTTACCAAATCTCTGCCCGTGCTCACGTAACTCTCCAGCGGACTGCACGGTCGCTGCTTGTTGCCGCCCATCAGGGCGCTGCTGCCGCTCACGCCGCTCCCGATGGCCGTGTGATCGCACAGCTTGGGCGTCTCGTAGTCGTAGATCTCCAGCATGAGGCGTCGCTTGCCCTTGGTGCTCATCAGAGCCACGGCGCTGTTCCTGTCCGAACTGAGTATGGCCGCAGCAGAAGCACCCACGCCGCCATCTTTGACGGCGGACTTGCCGCCAGAAATATAGTTGAGGCTATCCTTGACGCTAGTCAAGGGCTTGCCAGATCCGCCAGCAGCAGCGCCACCGCCACCGCCAGCGCCCTGGTAACCGCTGTACTTGTTCTCCTGGTTGAACACACTCGACTGTGTGGGTCCGTAGATGTACGTGTCCACCGGATTCCAGGCATTGTCGATATTGACGCGCAGATTTCGATTCAGCTTCGGATTACTGGCACTATAGTAGTAGCTGCCGTAGTTGCTTTGATTGAGGAGCGTGGGCTTGCCCCCGTCCGACGAGGAGGCCACTGGCGGTGGTGGTGGCGGCTGTCCGGTGGTTGAACTTGTCGATTTCATGGGCACATATGTGCCATAGCTGTCCCACATCCGGAGCCTGGTTATCCAAGGCGGCAGATCGCTCTGGGGTACAGCATCAGCACCCGAAACGTATATAAAAGAAAATAGGAGCAAAAAACAAGAAGAAGAAAGGGAACGAACACATGTTATTGTTTAATTCTCTTGTTGACATTATTTTTTGTACTCGTGTGTACTCCCCTCTATGCCCAAACCCCAACCCCAACCCAGGCGCTTTTCACGCGTTTTTCATGCTTTTTCTGTTGGCTTGTTGTTTCTTCTTTTGTTAGTTCTGCCGCTGCTGCTGCTGCTGCTGCTCCACTCCTCTCCTCTTCGTTTGTCACATGTCATATTCAAACAGTTCCAAGTGTGAGTTATTTGTCGTTTGTCACTGTCCCTGTCCCCCGTCCCCTTGTTCTCACTCACACTCGCTCTGTGTACTACTCTCAGAAACCCTCTGGTAGTTGTGTTCTCCAGATTCTTTATAGCCTTCTTGCTGCTGCTGCTGCTGCTGCCTGCTGTTGTTTGCAGGCATTAAATATTTTCACTAGACGCCTCCTTGGCTGCTGACAAGGTTTATGTTTTCTCTTCGCCCGCACTGCTACATTCCGACATTCCATTCCATGCCATTCCGGCCAGGCCCTGATTATTGTTGACTGTGTTAATAATGGAAAAGACAGTTGCAAACAGCTGTGGCTTGACTTGACTGGCGTAACAGACTCCCGGACACGAGCCACGGCCCAGTCGTTGGCTCCAAGTGGGCCAAGAAACTAACTAACTGACAGCCATTTAAGTTGTTTGGCGAAATGATCTTGTGATTAAATTGTATTGCTTTTTTCTATACAGACTTAGCCCTGTTAAATGCTTAAATATTTATTTCTCTTGTGTAGTTTTCTTTAAGGAACAGCCTGCCATGGTTTGAGCACATATTTTCCATCTCTCGCATTCTCTAATCTCACTTCCAACATTAAACTTTAATAAACAAATTCCACACATGCATACAGAGCCACACTAATAAATTCCACACATACCCATACATACCTGTACTCGGGCATGTGTAGCTGCATGCCACACACATGCCACACACATGCCACACGTTGATTACTTTACCACATTCTTCAGCAACCAACCCCTTTGGAAACTTTTCACCTGTCGTCTAATCAGATAAATTGCCAACAGCTTTTCATACTCTCAAGGTCATTCGCCGTCTAGACGTACGTAAAAGCACGGGTACGGGTACGGGTACGAGTATATCCGTAATAAAACAGAGGCATCTCATTTATTTTCGGTTTCAGCATATCTTGCACCCGAAAACGCTTTCGGAATTTCTGTGCCAATTAATATGGCAACCTTCCCCGCGTTGAAAAGAGTCAGTAAGAGGGTCAGAGAGAGGGTAGGAAGAGACACACAATTGTTTGTTCCGTTTTTTTTCCCTCTTCCACCCACTCGTGCCCCCCGGATGCTCACTGTCCGTGTCAATTGCAGTCGTCTCACCTACACTTTAAATTGCGAAAAATGAAAAGCTGCCAGCAGCACACAAATAAACGAAAAACAAAAAAAAAAGCAATGTGATGGGGGGGAGGAGTACGGAAAAGTACGGAAAAACAACTTTACAGTAACACCTACTAGTCGTATCGCTCCCAAAACAGGAACTTCTATGCCTCTGACTCTTTCTCTCCAACTCGCTTCAGCTCAAGCTTTCTCTTTCCTTTCTCTCAGTGACTCCCTTTCTCGCTTGCTGCTCCCTCCTTAACATCTACAAACGTGGGAGTACAATAAAAAGTGACAGAACAAAAATATGTGTAAAATAAAACACAAAACGGGCGAACCAGTGGGTCGGCCAGGGGGGTGTGGGAAAGCAGAGGTAGGATCCAGTGGGTGGCACAGCAGCGGGAGAGGAGTCACTAAAAGCAGGCAGAGTGGGACCTGAAGAGCTGCAAAAACAGTTCATGAATTTTGTAACAGCAACAAAAAGTGACAAAAACAACAACCAGCATCAGGTATGAAACGTGGGGGGTAGGTTCGGGTGGCAGGAGGCAGAGTGCTGCAGTCCGTGGAACGTGGGCGATGCCATTGCGATGGAAGCAGTGGGCGGAGTGGGTTGGCGCGGGTGCGATATGTACGAGTATCGAGGGCAACAACAAACTCAAAAATAAGTGAATGCGAATTCTCCAACAAAGCTAAAAAAAAAGAAAGGGTGTCCTTGTGTTCCGAGAAGCTATATACCCTTGAAGATCCATCGTGGGGATCCATATAGTGGTCTGATCTTTGAATTGAGAAAAACTTTTCATTGAAGTTATACGACTGAGATTCCTTGCTTTTTTTTCTCTGTGCTACACGCATCTAGCGGTAAGCGTAATACCCTTAAATAGGGCATCAAAAGTACAGAGAAAAAAATACACTAACACACAACAAAAATCGAGCCAAAGCAAACTTTTTAAATTAAGAAGAAAAGTTAAAACTCGCAAACAAAAAACAATAAGGGAAAGAGCGGAGCGACAGCGGAAGCAGAATGATTGCTGTGTGGATCCACAGAAATGTGTGGGTGGGTGCTGGTAATACTTATAATGCGACGACATTTATGAGACCACGTAAAGCGTTGACATGTTGTTCCGGCTCCGGCTCCCACTCTCACGCCACGAATCCCCACTCCGATTCGCGGTTTTTGATCTGCACCCGAGTTTGGACTAAAGTTTGGAATCTGTTCAAGTGGGAATTACAGAGGGAAACAAGGAAAAGCCCACACTGGCACACTCTATACTATAGGTCCAGAAGTTGACAAGACTTTGGTCTTGGCGAGCGACTAATTTTGTCATTTAAAAACAGAGGAAATACTTATAGAAAGTCAATGGTTCGCAGGGGAGAAATGTAAAGTTCAGAAACAGATGATTGAGTTTAATGTGCTCTGAATACTAAAAAATGCAAAGCTTTAGATTAGAGATCTGGAGAATTGGATAGTCCATCGGTGCTTAAAGATCTTAGGAAAGAGATCCTTAGGATCTCAGGAAAACTATAGCATATATGTTGAATGTGGAATTTCCTTTGTGTTTGTTTCCTCTTTTTTAGGGTGTGCAAAAAGTGCTTAATATTTATCCTGTACTAATATACAAAGGAACTGCCTGAAAACTGATGATACGCTTAAAAAAAATCATAGTCCCAGCAGCTAAGTGCCCTTGATGAGTCTCTAACTTAAATTAACTTTCTCGTGACGGCATAGCCTAAATGACCATTCAGTTCAGAGTTATCTGGGGGCCTGGGGACCGGCATGGGACGCAGCCTTTGAAGCACTCACTGACCCGACATTACGCGCTATCACAGCCCGTTCGTGCAAACTCAACTTTCTACCTTGACACAATTCACAGACCGTTAGGCAGGCGACAACGAACATTTAAAATGCACACGCCATGATGAGGACGATGATGAAACAGGGGACAGCGACAGAGACAGAGGCAGCGAGGGAGATAGAGATATAAACATACTCGTGCATATATAGAGAGAGAACGAGAGAGCGCGATGGAACATTATGATGGCCATCGTTGTTGTCCGTGCCGCATTTTGACGCAGTTTCTTTGGCCTGCGGGGCAGACTTCAGACTGTAGAATGGCAAATGTCTTGTTAGGCGGCCAGCTGCAGCTGCAGCTGCAGCTCCAGCTTCCATATGATAGAGTTGCTTAAGCTTTCACTTAATTATAAATTTAATGCAGAGATTTTCTATGGCTGCATTTTTAATTGGCCAGCAGAGACAAAGTGTCGACCGACTGGCACTAATGGCACATACACAATAGAGAGGGAGATAGCTCCACTGCAAAGACAGTGGAGGAGACGCCGCTGGCGTAAACGCAATCCATTTAAGAGACAATGCATGCAGCAAACTGTAGCCACCCACCCCCACCGAACCTTATGGGCATCAATTTTATGCATTTATGTAAACGGTTAACTATAACCCCACACCCGACGACGCCTATTCTGTTAAATGTTGTCCCAGCCCCAGCCCAGCCTCAGCCCCACACTCTGCACCGTCGACTTACCCGTCCCAGCGTATTGTTGTCATGTATCGCCTGCTGCAGGATCTGCAGATTGTAGCTGGTGAACGATAACCAAATCAGGTCACCGGGATATCCGTGAAAGTGGTACGTGCACGTTGTGTTCGGCGGAAGCGTGTGACGCGGACTCACAATGCGTCCCATGCGGCCGCGACGCGAGAATAGCACATCATCTGCAGAGTAAAAGAAGGCAAAAATAGAGTGAGTATGGGTACGAGAGATGGGTGATGGGTGATGGGGAGGGACAAGAGATTATAATATGCGCATACATATACAGACAGATACTTATGTAAACTGTTACGAGTAGAGTGCCGTACAGTCCCTCGTCCCTCTCGACGTTTTTTAATATGCTTTAAGAACGTTGTTTGACAAGCGGCTTACATGTGATTTAGGTTAATTTACAATGTGTGGCTGGCAGAGGGATTTATCTTCTTTTTGTTTTGCATCAATCTGAATACCCTGTAGTTGGATGCGGCCATATCTATATCTATAGTAATAGGGTAACTCTAAGTCACATCCAATACGCCTCTGTCCCAGCATTCATTCAAGCTTTGCGGAACATTTGAAATAAATACAAAAGTTAAAGCTCCTCCAGCTGCCTATTATCGCAATTCCCGCACTCGGCTTTAATTAAGGTTGCCAAAAGGCAACAAAGAACAGCCCCAGACTCCGCGCCCGAGTCCGGGCCACAGTCAGAGTTAGAGGCAAAGTCAGAGCCAGAGCAAGAGCCAGAACGAGAACGAGACTCCAGGCCGTCAGCCAGGGACAACTTTGGCAACTTTTGATTCGAGTGACAAATTAAAAAAGGCAACGACGAAAAACAACGCCACAGAAAAGTGGAAGCGAAAGCAAGAGGCAACTTCTACTCGGCGTTTCAATTGGCAAAAGTCGCTACATTTTGTGGCACTGCGACATGGTGAGTGATGCGGCGAGGGTCTGCAAGGAGCGGGAGTGGCTGAAGTGCTAGTCGATATAAAGGAAACAATTGTCAACGGTATCGATGATAACACCTGCGTCGATTCTAGCCGCTGCGACAGCTTTTCAAACTTGTCCGATGCAGGCCAGAACGGGAGGGAGCGAGCGACGGACAGGGGCGAGAACGGAGAACACAGCGAGGCCCCAAAGACTTTTGATGTGTGCCGTGCCGCATCGAGTGGCAGACGACGGAACGTACAAAGGGGCAGAGGGAGTGCAGAAAGAGGGAGTGTAAAAGTTGTTGCAGCTGCTGCCACGCAAAGCAAAAGTTGTCGGCCCACTGAGCTCGTGGATGGTGGGAGAACAGATGGTGGTGGGGGTAGGGTTGCACGCTGAGCAGCTGAAGACTGAGCTGGAGCCATTTTGAGTTTCGTTCCACCTCCTGAGGGTATCGTTCGTGCTGGTTTTTGTATTGGGCTGGGAAGGGCTGGGCTGGGCTGGAGGAGGGAGGGTCTTGCTAGCTAAGTAATACATTTTTATGAGATTTTTATTGTCACATTTCGCTGGTTGTGGCATATAAAAGTAAAGTGGCCTTTAAGCATGTGAGTGGAATCCGCCCACTTCCAGGAAGTGAGAGTTGAATGAGAAATGAAAAAAGTGTTGCCTACATTTGGAGGCCTGTGTGTGATATTCAACGGAAATAAACCATTTTTAACATGAATTTCAATGGCCTCAAAACCATTGTTTATATTCCATTTGAATATTCAGAATGTACAAATCAACTTTAAGCCACATTTCAAATGCATGAATATAAAATTTTCAGCCCCTGCTGTCGGTGCTCTCTACAGAGTGGATCAACCAAAGTGAACGTTCATTAAATTTGCAGTCCAAAACTGTCAACAGAAATCTCAATAACATTTTTCAACTGGCTGGGGAATTGCGATGTTTCTGATTTTCACATAGCAACAACTAAAATGCTACCAAATAATCGACAGGTCAACACATACCATAAATGTGGATATATACATATGTATCTGTTCTGTGTTCTGTGGATGCGTATGTATTCATACATGAGATTGTTTCGAGAGCAGTGCAATTCATATGGCACATGAAATGTAATCATTGGCCATTCCTGCCATAGCATGTGAATTAGTTAACAGATGGCTGGAAGCGTTCGTAACTAGTGATGACAGCGTGCAGCTACACAGGAGGAGTTTCTTTTTCTTTTTACTACACAGTCGAGTATAGGCAAAACTATTATTTTGTTGCGAGAGATATTTGTCCTATAGAGAGAGATTAATTAACGAACTAATGTACCCTATATGGAGATGATTTCATTTTTCTCCAGATATTACTCTTTGAGAGAGTTAACCATCATCGTAGCTTCCCTTCCTTTATTTCCTTTCACGCAGCACTCCCGTCACGGTACCATCTTTGGGAGGCTGTGCCTTTGCTGGTTACAGCTGCGCGACTACGTTGTAATAAATTTCGTTTCGACATATTCGCCACCAACTGCGTGGGGCATACAACAATAAGTGTACATATACGCGCATATACGGAAATAATTCAAGGCAAAGTCGGGCTCGGAATGACTGTGCACATACTATATATGAGAATGGGCCTGTGCGGTGGGTGTGTAATAGTAGCAATAATAATATGCTTATCAGCTGGCCATAAAGTGTGACTATCGAGTGGCAACACTACACCGACAATGAAAAACAGACAGGTGTGTGTGTGTGTGTGTATAGTGGCAGGGTAGAGGGTGTCCTTTTCCATATATAGAAGTTCGCTGGTCCAGGTATACGGGAAAACCGCAAGCGCTGGCAATAAAATTGTTATTTTTGCGATTTATTATTAGAGTGCATTTGGGCCGCCGGCGATGGCGATGGAAATGGCGGTGGACTTTTTTTTTTTTTTGGGGTGGAGTGGCAGTATCGAAAAGTACAGCTAGACCGATTCTAGCCTTGCCGCACCACGCCAAAAACCGCAAAATGTAGTCGCAACACATTTGGGGCATTAAATTATGGGGTGTTACTTTTATTGATTGCCAGAGAGAGGGAGAGTGGGATCTGGGGACTGTGGCTGTAGCTGATTGAGTAGCATTTCCATGGCCATTGCCATGCGTTTTCCCCCCTTTAGCATTGATTGTTTATTGGATTCCGTTCTTGTTTTTCGTTTTGGGGGAACCCGCGTGCAAATTAAATAGGAATCGTCCCGCAGGCTGTTACGTGTATACACATGTGTACTAAATCTGCTTTATCCCTATCCATGGCCTGTTCCCTGCACAACCTGTTTATTTTTGCTTTATGCTGCATTACATTCAACACATTCAAACAATTAGCCGAGCCCGAATGGGCTTCCACATGCTCTATTTCTGGTGGAGATCGATTTACAATGCTAAGCGACTATACACTTAATGGATTCTCGCGCATATTTAATGGGTCTGAATCAGTTTTCGTTGAATTGTCTGTAAAACGCCAGGGGGCCTAATGGTCGTTCAACATTAAATTGATAAATACGAGTATATGCAATGACTTGCGGCTGTTTTGTATTTGCATTTATATTTTTTTATAGCTGGTTTTTTTTATATATTTGAATTGAATGCCTGGACCCCTGCCCGCTACAATTGAAATTATATCCCTTAATTGATATACTCATGTGCAAATGTAGTCCGAAATTTGACCGAACAGAAACCGAACAGAAATAACAGTCAAACCGAAAACCAGAAAACGCAAAAATAATTTTCCCGCCAAGCAAAAGCAAATTAAATGTAATAAATATTAAATGAGAAGCAAACAAAAATATGAATTCCAAATACAGCATATGTACATACATACGTATATGCGTATATCGGATCAAGCAAGTTAATTATGTTTTTGTGCAGAAAACCAAAAATTACAAACATTTCGGGGTTGTGGGCAAGAGTGGGCAAGCCTAATAAATGTATGCAGAGGCATGCTCCCAATGTTTGCTCCAATAATTAATTTCCATGGAAAATTAAGTTGGCAAAGCTTTCAGCCAATTAATTGTTTGGAGTTGTATTCAGGGAAAATCAATGTATTTTGTTCCATGGAATATGCTTTAATGCTTTAGCTCTGTCCAAATCAGCAAAAAATGGCTGCTAAATTTTAGAGCCAATATTTTGGAATATTTTCAATATTTACTTAAACCATAAAATTCAGAGGAAGCAAAAAAAAAATGGCACAGAGTTGATGGCAACGACAGGCGAGCAGTAGTCCATTGACAAATTCACATTTAAATATTGATATTATATAAAAGCACACACACACACACACACACACTGGGACAAGCAGCATACATGCACACCCATACAAACACATGCATACATGAGCAAATAAAATGTTGCCGTTATGTGCAAATATGCTAATTTGTTGTTTGCACAATGATCCCCATGCCGGAACGGAACCCTTACCCGAATCGAATCGAATCCCCCATCTGTTGTTGTTTTCTATTGCTTCCCTCCCCCCTTCCGCTCTACGTTTCCATCCGCTGATTGCAAACAGAATTGCAACTCAATAAGCAAACTAAACAGCAAATATGCGGCAGCACCCCACAATGCACCCCACCATCACCCCACAATTTTCATGCCGTGCACCCCACCCACCCAATAGATTGCCCCATGGACGCACGAGTGAAATTCTGACAAATCAACCCGATATTAACCTCATTTCAGTGTGTGCCTTTCGGTTTATGGTTTTAGTGCAACGCCAAACAAGATTCCAGTGGGAAATATCCTTCTAAAATGCCATTTCTCTTCAATTTCAACAGGAAACAACATAGATAAGTGCGTTTAGAAAGGGATTTAAATATACGATTCCGACTCTATAATTTTGGAGCTATTACATGTTCACGTCTAGAGACTTTAGCAAACCTTTAACCCGTCTAACATGTTTTCGTTTTTGAGAACACCTCAAGTTGTATAAATTATAATTTTTCCCTCAGCCCCACAGCCGCTCTCTCATGCACTACTTGCACATTAACAATGAATTCCCTTTGCCACCACCATCTCAACTCGCCACGCTTCATTGTTTGCTTTCCCTTTCTTTGTTTTCCTCTGTTGACTTTATGAAATTAAAAAGGAAAATTTCCACAAACGAACAGGAGCAGAGAAAATTGAAAATGAAAAAGAAAACAACGAAAATGAAAAGAGATTTTGCTTAAAGTTTTGCGGAAAACTTTAGAAAACTTTAGGTGTAACAACAGCCGAGAGCGGCATGGCATTGAGGTGGACAGCCGAAGCAGGAGGAAAAGAAAAGTCTTAAGAGAACTTTCAATCCTTGAAACCTTTCGGGGGCTACACCATTCGATAGTTCAGCACTTGGCCCACAGCCCCCGCCCTGCAGGCCTGCTTGGAGTCAGCAACAATAATCCGTAAATCAATGAAAAGAAAAATGCCAAAACAACTTCCGACGAATTGGCAAATTGCAGAAATCTATCTGCCAGAGAAGGGTAGACATAGTACTCTGAAGGGGCTTAAAGTTTACTGCACAAAAATAAAAAACTTCTATGGGACATCAAGCTTTGAAGAAGCATCTTAATAAAACTATAAAAATATAGCTTAATAACTTGCATTTCTTACGCATGGAAAAGCATCTTTCCTCATGTAAAATCTCACAGGTTTTCCTAATTTTTCTCGTTACATAGATATAGTACACCCCTTTCCGGTGCTCTGCATATGCCTCACTAGTGGGAGTTATTTATCGTTTTTGATTTGGGGCGGGTGCTTCGGGATTTTGGGCGGCGGCGGCGAGCAGCACCAGTTGCCATGGGAATGGACCGATGACAATTTTTCCGCCTTTGTGGACGATAATTGAATGTGAAATGTTTGGCTGGAGTTGATTAGGTCTAATTAGGGAAGCTATATGCTGAAATGGCACATTGATTGAGTTGGCTGATGGAAAAATCCTTTTTGGGAAATAATTGGATAAGCGAATGGCAACTATGACAATCACTTTAGCTATGCGCATGGCTGAGAAAGAGGGTCGGGCATTCCTGAAATGTCATGGACATTTGGTTAATGCTTTACAGCACACACAGGTTAACATTTCTGAATTTCACATTCTTTTGAATACAGTTAACAAGAGCTGTCAGTGATGGCAGTGCACTGCAGTGAAAGCAGACAGAATTTAATTAAAATCGACACACAGCCCAACCAGAGGGCTGTGCTTCTGCTCGCCCACCCATTTCCAAATCAACTCTGGCCCCAGTGAGTCGGTGAAAAGTTCTACATTTAATTAAACTTAATGGCAAAAGTTATGGCCAAATCAAATCGAATTAAATATGCAACAGATTTTGTTACGCAATCGCTGAAGTGAGTGGAATTCAATGTGAAAGCCTCCAGTTCAAACCATCGAGCAAATGCCAGTGGCAACCGCATTTGGCTCTGTGTCTGCAGTTTATTAATCATATGTCACGCTGTCCCAGCGCCATATTTGCATTGAATAATTCTACGAAAATTCTATGGAAAACCACTTGCACACAAACACACACGCTCATGATTATGTATAACATTGAAATGACCTTTGCTGCTCATAATAAATTGTCGCTGCTGCTCGCCTCTCGATTGCTCTTCTAACATTTTCAAATATTTAAATACAATTGCATATTGAATTTCTGCGTTTTCCCTTGGTTTTCACATGCCTAATGATGTTGTTGGTGTGTGTGTGTGGGCGAGGGGGGGGCAGAGCCAAAGAGTGTGCTGTGGGCGGGCGCAGAGAGCGAACAAATGAAAGCAAAATGAAACGATAAATATTTGGTTTTCGTTAAAACTTTAATTAAAATCATGTTGGACCCCCGCAATAATTTATTTGTATCGCGCTGCTGCTGCCACTTTACCCTCAATTTTGGGGGAGTGGCAGGTTCGTGCGGGTGCACGGGCTGGGTGTGTCGATAACAAAACAATTATACCGCTTTGTTTGCTTGTATTGTTGGTCGCCGCTGCCGTTCTCCTAGTACTGGCCGCCCCTTAGCTCCGTTCGTATAAAATGCTTTATACGCGTGCCACGTTCTCCTAATTGAACTAGCCGCAAAATGTTGCACCCCCAAACCCCTAGAGCAAAAGTATTCGCCATATTTTCCATTTTGACCATACATTTTGCTCGCAAAAATTCGCACTGCTGTTTCGAGCTGATTTATTAGCTCGAGGAGAGTGAAATTAATTTGTTGTTGAGGTTCTCATATTAGGGAATATTTTAAATAAAATTTCCGGACATTTTAAAACGAATTATTCTTATTTTTTCTATTTATTTTATTGCTGCAAACGGTTTGATAAAATAAATATTTTAAATTCAGAACTTCCTTATTAAAGACTTCCTCTTCGGGCATCCACTCACAGCTCAGCTACCCTGGTTCCCTGAAGACGCAAACAGATTATAACTATTATAGATATAGCAACAGACTGCCCCCAGGCCGATGCCCATTCCAAGGCCCCCCAACCAGCCGCCGACTAATGATTGCAGACACATCTGCTCGATTTCCCAGTCAACGCATTAGGCTAAAAACAAAGTGAGAAAGCCACGGGGGTAGCGGATGGGGAATGGGTTGGAAAATGGGAGGAGGAGCAGAAAAGGCATTTCACAAAAGTTAAACGGTCAAAAATTAAGCACAAGCAAAAACAACAACAACACGGCGATATATAAGCCAAGTTAATGAGCACAAAAACAACACGGGGGGCAAAGCAGCAAAGGAAAACGCTAAGGCATAGAAAAGCTGTTATGTAAAGAAGACCAAAACGAAGAGCAAGGGGAAAAATAAACTGGAAATGAGTTGATTTGGCTGCCACTTCCCCTTCCAAGCGTGCCAAAATTGCCTGCTCAACCAAAAAACTAATTTCAAATGGGATTTTCCTTCGGTTAAGATAGAAAAAGCGTAAGAACAAAAAAAAAACCACGAAACGTAGAGGAGCAATAATAAATAGCCAACCGTTTTGGTTTTGGCCGGCAAAATAGAATCTACTCAAAAGTTATTAAGTGCAAATTAATGAACATTAGCGGCTGCCATGCTGCTGCCTACTTTGGCCGTTTCTCCTTCCTGCTGCTGCAGCACCAAATTGATGCAAGGCCATGGCAGTAGGGAGGGTGGCAGGATGGCAGGATAGACTTAAATTTCATTTAATAATTTTTCAATTAAATGCAGACTGCTGACCAGCAGAGAGACAGAGAGTGAGAGAGAGAAAGCAGAAAAGATTCTTGGTAGTAATGGGAGGAGGTCCAAGCCAAGCCTAGAGAGGAAGCTCAAGAGTCGAATAGAAAGGCCTGGGAAAACCATGGAGAGAAGGCCCAGGCGGTCGCTGAGCTACAGGAGTGGGGCGTACTAATTAATGAGAGAATGAGCATTTGGAGGTTGTACCAAGAATTAATTCCCACTCAACCATTAGCTGAACATTCAAGTTTCCTAGAGCAATATTTATGCTAGTTATTATAGTATAAAGAATAGTTTTTTTTATAAGATTAAACGAAATTTAGTTCTTTTTACTTAAGTGGCTTAAATATACAATCGAAATAAGATTCATAGTGGCTCATAGTGCTATTATAAATTCCCATAAAACCGATTTATTTCTTGCTTATTTCTCTTCGAACTCTCACTGTCATAATCTGAACAGGATCCACTATCCATTAAGTTTTTTGCCATTATTCCTTAAGGAAACCTTCTTCGAGTTTCCCCTATTCCCATTTCAAAAATTATGTGCTGCCGAGGCAATTACTCATACTTTCATTGTGGCTCGCATCAAGTCAAGCCTAAAATGGCTGTCTGAAATCTTGGGTTTCGTTTCGTTTCGTTTTGGGTATATCGTCTGGCCTTGAATTTAATTAAAATCTCATTTAGTCCGGCCGGATTAGAGCCAAAGGCTAAGAGACCCTTCGCGCCACCTCAACTGCGAGTATAACTCTGAACTACTCGTGTTGCAGCCACTCCGCGCTGAAATTGGCCCCACGACTTTTGATTGTCCCGGTCTCCGGTTGCCGCATGCCAATTAAGCCCGGAGTCTGTTCACTCAAGCGGCATTAATCAGTAAGCAATATATATTTAATAATTTGAAGGAAAAAAACAGCAAAATGCAAGAAAACATCCAAGGAGAATGAACAACTCTCGCATTTAATGAACAGCCAACGCAGCAAACAATAAAAGAGATAGGGGAAGGAGAGAACAGGCGTAACACGGAAAAAATGGTGGAAAACGAAAAGAGAATAGAGGAAAATGCGAATCGCAAAATGCTGACCTAGTTCACTGTAGCCGTTCTGCATGGGTCACCTGAGCCAGAGCCCCGCCATTAATTGACATTAATTATGGTTATTCATATTCATTTCTGGTTTTTGCCCGGGGGCTGCCTGTGTTCTCTTACCTGGATTCGAGGCATTTATGTGGAACTCGCAGAGGTTCTTGGTGCCCTGGGCAAAGTCGTAGGAGTCCGAGTCGGTGAAGAGTATGTCCACATCCAGTTCGAAGCCCCGATTCGGTATGCCTTGCTGCAGGGGCGCCGAGAAGGGGCTCGAGTGGAAGGCGACCAGCATTTCGGCGCCACTGAAAGTCAAGACAAATAACAAAAGGGAATAAATTGAAATGTAAATAATTTGCAATATTATATTTAAATTTTAATAATATGCAGTGACCCACAAGATAAGAATATCTTGCGAAATAAATGGAATATATTTTCTATTAAATTTCATTAAATTTCCGTATTAAGACTTATTTAAATATTATCCAATTCTTCATCAATGTATATGTACTTCTGCTGGTAAATCTGATCATATATTTAATTTGAATAGAAGATATATATTTTCATAGTGTAATTTAATTAAATATCTCATTAGGCTGCCTCTTTTCTGCCGCAGAAAATCTCTTAGAACTTTTCCCAACATTGCTCATACGCCCCATCTGACAGCTGCTGCTATATCGAGTGGTGGGCCCTTCTGCTTTGGCTGTTTTGGGCCATAACCAGGCCACTGGCACTCCAATTAGAGGCGTGAAAAAAGTTCCGCTCACATAAATTTAATTTGCACAATTCGGCAAACAAGAAAGTCGTAAAGTTTTTGGCCACGAAAGAAGCAACAAACCAACAGCCGAACCAACAACCAAACAACACAAACAACCAACGTTTGTGGGCGTCTTGCCAAATCTCTGACTGCCACGCCCAAAAGTATGACGCAGCACTCGGCGCTCTGGCTTTGCTTTGTTTCGGGCTATTTAAAGTGTCCGCTGGCCCACTCTCTGTCCGCTCTCCAGTCCGCTCTTCTGTCGCCGCCGTCTGGTTGTTTGCATTTTTGCTGCCAAATTAACTTTTTTCGCCATTGTCTTGCCTACTGCCTGGCAAAAGGGGAGGCCGACGCCCGACAAAGTTTTAGTCAAATTTTTTGGCATAACAAAGTAACAGTCGAGTTGGGCCAAAAATGTAGCCGTTTGTCTTTTCTATTTTGTATTTTTTTTGTTCAAAAATTATGAAATGCCAGTCGCCTGTGGTGGGTGTGTTGCAGCAAATCTGTTTCAGTCACCTCTACGCTACAGAACGGGTTGCGTTCTGTCTGTCTGTCTGCAGTTGTAGACGGCGCGACGCCAGATTTTATGCCCCCCCTCCGAGGAATGGCAATGGCATCGTGAGTGTTCATAAAACTTTCAAACAGTTGGCTATTTTCTCAAAAGTACTTACAACTAAATGCAAGAATAATTTTCAATAATTTCTAAAGCTATTCCGCTCTTGCAAGGTGGGGGGCGGGAGTACTCTCTCATTCAGTACCTGTTTAACATGCCTCGTTCATATCCACATAAATTATGCTCAAAGTTTTCAATTTAAACATCAAATTGAATTTTTATTGCTCAAGCAAAAGGTGCACAGTGCGTATGCTTAATATGGCATGACATAAAATAAAACAGAAACTGAGACACACGACCAGGCGGGGTGCACGCATTCGCCTAAGCCAAGACCTGAAACACTTAAAAGGAAACTCCCACGCAGACGATGTCAAGAGCCATCAAACATGGCCAACAAAATGGCTTTTTAATACGTGTAAGTGTGGTCGAGCGGGAGTGGGTGTGGGAGTGGGTGTGGTATGGGAGCCAAAGCTTCTTATTATTTAAGGAAAACGTGCTCCGTGTGCATGGAGTAGAATGGATGGAGTGGATGGGGCAGCATACAACAGCTGCAACAACGTTTTTGTCAGTGCCAAGTGCAATAAACTGCAAATGAAAAGTGAATTAATTTTTAATAAAGCGACACAAATGCTTGTCCTGGGTCCCCCAGTGCCTGCCATTCATCTGGGGGATGTCCTGGTTACTTGGGGCATGGCATGTCCTCTTTTGGGGGAATGTCCTGTTTTCCTGCACCTGTCTGTATGTATGTGTGCGTGCGTGTGCGTATATAGGGGCCAACATGTGTGTGTGTGTGTGTGTGCTTTTGCGTGGCATTTGGTTACTTTATGGCCTGCGGCACACTTGTGGGTGTCGTAAAATCAACACAAACCCATAGTCATGCCATGCCCAATGGCATCCTCCATAAGCCCGTACTCCATTTACCCCCCACTTGCCTCCTCACACGGTCCTTTGTCAGTTATCAATACACGTAAACCCCCCTTTGGCGTTCCCAGAAAGCGTCAGAGTGTCCAGACCGCAAATGGCAGCACAGCACCCGTCCCCTATCAAAATTCTCTCCAGCATTGCGGTCAGCGCAGGGTCAGCGTATTCACAGGCAGGGGTATCGTATCTGGTGTTTGGAGAGCCTAAGAGTACACGGGAATTTCAAGTGATTAAAGGACACAGGCCTTAGTGAATTATACGCTATTTGGATGCGTTTTCGCGATTTCGAGCGAACCCCAAAGACCAAAAGGGAGCTCATTAGGCAGTTGATTGAACCAGTCCAAAATGGAGTTGGAATGTTAGTCCTAGTCGCACTGATACCAAAATTGTGTTGCCGGTAACACGAAATGGGTTGGCGGGGGGGTAGGTCTTAGGTATTACGAAAGAGTATAGCCGTGGTCTATTTTCGACTAATGAACTTTGTGGGTTCATTATTTATGCAGAGAACCACTGATTTTCGCAACTTTCTATTCCTGAATGCCCCTGAAACTTTAAAGTGGATAAAAAATCAAATTTCAGAGTATATACCATCAACTACCTTAAATTATTATTAACCATGGGCAAACATCCTTGACACCAAACTGTGGCTTGGGTTGCTACTCCACCCGCGCGATTTCCCTGGCCACCTAATCCGCAAAGTGCATACTCAAAATACACAGAAAAAAAATACACAGCAGGCGGTAGAGGATGGAGAGAATTTGTGCCATAAAAAATTAATATGCAATTTAAAAAGTTATCGCTTTGAGTTTTTCTTTTACTGCTAACAAAAATTAACATTTACTTAGAGGAAAAGCAACAGCTGCTGCAACTTTTCCAGCAGCTTTTCCACCACCACCAAAAAAAAAGAACGAAGGAAACGAAGAGGCGCTCCAATAAAATATCAACGTCTCGTGGCACCTTTAGCTTGTTGCAATTTTAAGTTGCTCTGCGAAATTAATAATTTTCATGTGGCTTGTCCCCACCCTCTCTCTCTCTCTCTGTCTCTGTCTGTCTTTCGTTCACTGTAAGTGTCTCCATGCCTGCTCTCCTGTATGCATATGCGATTTTCGTACCAAGTCGGAGTGAGTCCCGTGTCTGAGGTGAGAAGTAAAGGTGGAAATGTTTGAGGAGCCGGAAACGACTTTCGCCCCTCTCTCTCTCGCTCTCTCGTCTGCTTGTGCGGGTGTGTGTGCATTTATAATTCGTATGCTCATGTCGCGTATGACGTGACAGAGGAGGTCTGGTAGGGGCTAAAGGTGCCGTGCTGGAAAGATGTTGCATGAGCTACGAGGCTGGCTTCTTAATGCCGTTTTTCTTGGTCCCCAACCCACTTTTCCATCAAGCTCTTGGAGCGGAGCATATTTCGTCTTCCGACTTTTTCGTCTTTTTTCCATCTTGTGCATATTACGCTCTATGCATATTTGATGCGCTCTACCTTGCCTGTGCCACCCTGCCACCACCCCCAGGCCCTGGCACCTGTACACCCAACGTGTGCATGATTATGGGATTTTCCCAAGGATACGCAAAGGATGTCAATAAATGCGAGAGTGCAACTCATTAAGAGATTAAGGGCCACAAGGCAAAGCGATCATCGTCAGCCCCATAACCATTATGATCATTCAGGATGGATCCCCAGGAAATATTACACATTTTTCCAGCTGCCCAAGCAGACAGCAGACAGCAGGCAACGACTGCGACAGTTGAGGAAGCCCCAAAAAAAAGGAAATCAAAGTTTATGTGCATGTCTCAAGAGGCACTGCAAAAGAGCAAACTTTTGGCCCTGGCCGAAAGACAACAAAAACAAAATTCTCAAGTGCTAGATAAATGGCCAAAGGGGGCAGAGGAGGTCGTCCTATGGCGGTTGGAAGGTAGGGTGGGGTGGAGCAGGAGGCGAAGGCCACTTGAATGTCACGTAAAGGCGTGGGCGTGGCTGAGAGCTGCATTCGAACATTTTGTGGGATGTCCTGAAAGTGTTTTTAAGTGCTTCGAGAGGCAAACCTGCAAGAATTTATGGCAATCGAAACGAAAATGAACAAGTTCCGCTTCCGGTTGACGTACATTATACATATGAAAGGAACTGCAATAAAATATAAGAAAGTTTAATGATTTCTTATGAAAGCATACAACAAATAAGATTTGTATGCGTATTTATTACGAAAATAAACCTATTAAATCACTATTAAAACACAATACCAAAATGTAGGTACATAAGCCCCCTAACATATTAATTATCATGTTTTTGTATAAAGAAAACTTTATGTGATAGCCTTAAATTAGTCAAACGTATTCAGAATTTTTTCATAAAGTGCTTTCAATTAACCCACAACTCTACTGTACACACGAGTAGATTATTTCATTTATTTCAGCCAACTGGAAACCATATAGACTTTCGAAATCAATGAGTGAGAACTGTGTAGTTGCAGCAACTAAAACTACACCGATTAGTTGCGTTTTAATTACTTAAAGCCACCTCGCCAAGCCGCAGTGCCAGTGTGCGTGAGGGAGCAGGGAAAACATGCAAATTGCTTGTGAGAGTTGCTTGTCTTTAAGAATGTATGGTTGACGATCTGCTAAGAGTAAATGCTGGCAAAACTTGGCAACTAATGAGCAAAATTTTGCCATTGCATAAATCACATGCATCAAAATGTTTTCAATAGGAATGGCAGCAGAACAGAACCAAAGTTCCAACCAAACGGCAACATAAATCTATTTATTTCAATGTGTATGTGTGTGTGTATTTGTATACGTATGTATATCTGGTATCTCGTATCTGTTTTTCACTTTTCGTCTCTCCGTCTGTCTATTTGTCCGATGGTTTGTCTGTCTGGCAATGTCTGCAGAGCAACCCAATTTCCGGTTTTTGCTTAAGCATTGCAATGCATGGCGCACAATTGTAAGGCCCACACACACACACACACACACACACACACACACAAAACCCATCTACACATAGATTAAAGCTATGCCTGTGCCTTTGCTTGTCTGCCTTTGTATCTATGTGTAACTGAATTGGAACACATGCGCCCCAGGCCAAAACTGCAGTGCAGTGCAGTGCACTACTCGGCTGCGGTCTTCACACTGGGTCTCATTCACTCACATACACTAGTGATGCGGAAAAAAGGCTCTCAATCACTGTGATTGAGAAATCACTCTCTGGCTGGGGGGATTTACTCATAGATCAGGGCCAGGCCAGTGACTTTGATTGGTTTTCTAAGCCAGACCATATGCACTTTAGCCAGTTATTTGGCAGGGCTATTCATTTGATAGTGAAAAATCCCACCATTAAATGAGACTGTCGCATGTTTGGCATATTGATTCATGTATTTTGTATGCCTGAATTTCAAGGGTTTTGTATAAGTTAGGACATCGGATCACAGTATTCAGAGATACATTTTTCGTTTGGGTTGCTTTCCAACTCGTTTCACGCGCGAATCACAGTGCCCACCAAGTAGCTGCTTTTCTCATCACTGTGGGACACACACACACATGCACACTCACACGCTCATTAAAAATGTCTGTCTATCTTTTCTTGTAAATGTATTATGAGCTTTGCTGTGCTCATATTTAACTTTTTCATAAAAGGGAGAAATGGCGTTAAATAAATGTCCTCTGTCTGTCTCTTTCTCATTGTCTCACTCCTTTTTCTCTTTTTCTTTCTCTTGCATTCTGTAGTGTTCTCATGGCACAAAAGTAACCCATGCAATGGGAGGAAAAACACTTTTCAAAAGGCTTTTCTTTGGACTCACCGTGACACGACGCGCGGCAACCAATCGCCGCCACAGTATTTGGCCAGCACGGGATCGTTGGTGGAGCTGCCGTCATAGAAGATGAGATGATCGCGTTCACCCGTACAGTCCGACCAGGCGCGTATGGAGCGTGACGTCTTATTGAAGCTGGCAATCGACCTGTGAATGGATTACCAAAGAATGAGAACAGACACAGAAACAATGAACAATAGGTAAGCAATTAATTCGCAAAATTCAATGGAAACTTTTCCATTTCCATTCCAAATCCAAAAAAGATATCAGCAGCTGGACATTGATTTTATGGCCTGTCAGAGCTGTCAGAACTCTGAGAATGTAAGCTAGCTCTCTTTTCATAAATGGTTATCTGAATGAAATGGAAGCTAATATCAAAAATATATTCACCTAATCCCATCAATCCAATTACAAACTTCACATGTTTCCCTTTAATACGTTTTTGCATACAAATTTCATTGAATGTTCAGTCAGTGTTAGTCAGTTAGTCAGTTAGTACGGAATGCAAAATGCATTCGGTGTGTGTTTTGCTGCATTTAATTGGAATCTACAAAACTTTTCGCCCAGAATGCTTAACATTCTCGGACACGAAACAGTTTCATTTTGCAGTTGTCGTGCAGTTAACAAACTGCAAACTCGAACTTCGCTTAGCAATTTGCCAAATTGAAATTTGTCATACAAATGCAGATGCTGATGCCTCCCACAGATCCCCCCACACGTCCATTGATGCAATGGGGTCTGCAAAGGGTATGGGAATGGTAATGCTTATTTAAAGCTCTCCAGTGCAGGTTGCATAGGATATTTGGTAGTCAAACCATCTATTCCATCCGCACATCCTCACATCCTTATGCTTACCGCTTCACTAAGGCCTTGTGCTGGTTCTCCTGGCTAACGGCAATCATGGCATGCTTGCTGGTGGGAACTTCTTTCTGTCGTATGGTCCAGTAGCAGGTAACATTCCTCGGATACATACCAGGATAATTTGGACTTTGCAGGCGACACTTGTTACGATAGCATTCATCGAATTGCCTCGTACAATAGGTGCCAGGTGTGACACGGCCCAGTTCGAGCGGCTTATCGGGCAGACCGTATCTGTAAGAGAGGAAGAGAGAGGCCAAAGGGTCAGTAAGTGCTGGGCTGGGCTGTGGGGGGTACAGTACGAATTGAATTTTCATTTAGTTACGGTTTCTGTTCGCCGTACGTGGCAGTACATTTTGAATGGTATTTAAGTCTGGGTCCCAGTAGCAACACAAAGAGCTGGGAAAATTTGCATAAAATGTGCTACCGACAGGCAGCACAGACCTGGGCTCCCCACCCCACTCATTGTTTAGTTTGCTAATGGTGTGCACAGGATTCGAACTCTGGACCTCGGACCACGGACAACGGACACGGACACTGGCATTGAAAATGAGCGCCAGCCTTGCAGTTCGGCGATTCTATTCGGCATTTTGCTCTCTCTTTTGCCCATGTAAATTGTGTGGAACTCATTCAAGCGTAAAAATACATTTCAATTTATATTTACCTCTCATTCACTCGCTTTCTTGCTAAACAAAAAGCGCGACACATTCAAAGGGAAGGAAGGCATAGAGAGGGATACAAATTTGACACATGCCTAGGCACAGGTCCCGTGCACAAATGGATTGCACTACAACAAGTACGAGTAAATACTCGTATATTCGTGTATGTATGTGAGGTGAGGATGAAAATCTATTGAACCGAGTCAGTACAAAGCTCATGTTTTATGCAGGTACGGCACTGGGACCCACCTTCACCTTCCTTCACCATCCGCCCATCCCCGGGGCAACGACCAAGTGGCATTGTTCTCTCAGGTCGAAGGATTTCTAAGCAGCTCTAAGCAGCAGCAAGAACGTTAGAGCTCAACTAGAAATAGAAATAGAAATAACAGCAACTGGGAGCCGAAGCCCCAGAGCGAGAGAAGCCAAAGGCACTCTGGTGGCATTACAATTGCGAGATGGAACAGAGCAGTGCTCCCATCTGGTGGAATATCTATTGAAAACTGTTCAAGTGTCCCTCTGCCAAAATGCTTTAACTGCATCCTCTGGCAGTTTGTCAGGACATCGCGAGACTGTATATTTGGTGGCGGGGGTGGTGAGGTGGTACTTACCTTACAACTGCATCCGACTGGCTGATAAATTTATATCTTATGCTGAACTCAAAGGGCTTCTCATCTCGTATATTGCGTGGCGGATGAAATACCTGAATAGAATGAAATAGAAAAATGACAAAATAAGAGCTGAATGAGATTTGAAAATGATATTGATACCCTCGAAAAGTGCAATCAGAGTGGAAATATTGCAATATTCTTTGGCATTGCTGCTGCTGCTGCTTAATGCGTAAAAAATTGCCATCTCCACGCGAAATTTTTCCTTTAATTATGCAATCTGCCATTCTTGCAGTTCCACTTTTTCACATTTCCATGTCAACGGCTCATCAACACGTTGCAGAGAAGTGACTGGGGGAAGCCAAGCCAGAGAGCCAACCCAGCTCTCAGCAATTCTCTCTCTCTCTCTCTCTCTCTGTCGTGAAGAGTCCATTTTTATTAATTTTCATAATTTATGCGTGGCAACTCGACGGCAACTGAAACAAGAATCTCGCCCTGATATGCCCATGGACATGTCCTTTATGCTCGTATTCCCTTGTCCATTTGCCCACTTTTATGGCGGTGCGTTTATTTAAAAATTAATCAAAAAGTGGCAATGGCCGCGCGCCGCTCGCCGTCGACTGCCTGCCTCAAGTCACCATTACGTATACGCCGTGTGTGTGTATGCAGCAAAAGTTGTTCAATTTTAAATTGGTAAAAATGAAATAATTGCAAGAGAAGACACGCCAACTCTGGGTTGAAACAAAGCTTTTATTCTGTCCAAAGGAATTCAAGATGAAGGAGTTCTTGCTGGAAATGCCCAAGTGAATGCTGGGAGATTCTTGGAATATTCTTTACGCATTTCTTTGTATATTTTTTGATGAATGATAGTCTGATTCTCACAAGACTCGCTGGCAATGATTGCTGGGAGACCTTTACTCACCTTAACAGATGCAGTCACCGTTGATGTTTCGCTGAAATACAATTGCGGTCCTGTGGCCTTGCCGCACCACGAGCCCCCGGTGAACGGGCGTCCCAATTCGCTGAGCTGAGTAAATAAATAAAAATTTAATTAATTAAAAATCAAGTTTGTTTCACCGCCGCGCTGGTGACACGGCAACGACACAAACAGGAAGGTTAAAAGCAATTTGCAGAGCTCCGTAAAATGCTCGTGACGCAACATTTAAAGCCCACCGCTCTCCTGTCGGGGCCGGGGTAACATTACGCGAAAATTGGGTTAAGTTATAGTTGGTTGGTTGCCCTGTGCTTTTATTGATTTTATTGGCCTGAGTGAAAAGCGCATACAAAATTAATAAGCAGCGTAACAGCGGGGATGGGACCAGACCAGACCAGACCGAACCGGACCGAACCATCCCTTGCCGACCATCTGGCACAGCCTAATGGATTACGAATATGGCTGGAGTGCTGTGTAATTTTTTGTGCTCTCAATGTTTGATTGTTTTCCTCTCCATGAATGCAGTTGGCACCCGAAACGGTATAAAGAACTGTGTGCCATATATTTCCGCTGCCATTTTATGTATGCGAAAAACTGTTGGCAATTGTCGAAGGTGTGCGACCAACAGCCAGCTGCAATAACAGTACCCAGTGAATAGCACAGGACAGCGGCTCCAACTACAAGTCCTGGCCCAAACCAAACCCAAACCCAAACCCATAAATGTATTTACACTGCGAGCAAAAGAAAAAAATTGCGCCCAAAGCACCGTTTGCTGGTAGAGCGGATAAATTATTAATACTCGTAGTGAGGCAGCCCACAAAAAGAGCAGCAGAGCTAAGGGAAGTTGGAAGTTGGCAGGGCATCAAAAGTGATGGAGTATGGCAGTTCCCTGGAATCTGACAGAATCTCAATCATTCTTTCAGATGCATTCATTCATCGAGTGATTTACTTGGGATAGAGAACTTCTAAAGCATTCAATAGTGTCGTCAAGGTACTCTCTTCCGCCTGCCTTCCATCTTACCATCCGTATTATTTTCAAAGATAGGTACATTCCGTACTCATTTAAGGATTCATTTAATGAAAACCAACGAGTCCCTAGTCCAGCATTATCAGTATGTTGCAGTATACCCCTTAGAGTTTCATCCTTTACCCTTTTTTTGGAGGCACAAACGATTCGTTCCGCCCAAGGGGCCACTGACATTTATTGAGTCTCGCATAGGCAGCATTAATATGGCTAATACCAGCATGGAAAGGACCAGTGGATATTTTTTTCTGGGCTTTTTCTCATTGCCTGTGGCCTAGGTCAGTGGCCAGCCAGCAGCAGCCAACAGCCAACAGACAGCCACCAGCACTGTTGGGGCGGCGAGAATGGCAATGGCAGCTCATTTACACTGAGGTTCCAATTGATTAAGTTTTTAGTTAATGGGTTATTTGAACTGAACCATGGTCCTACCATGATGTCCCTTGCAGAGCCTATCTATGTCCATGTGCATAGCCCTGGCCCGGAGACCCCTGTACAGGACATGTCCTGCGGCCGGCCCCGGACTCAAACAACAATTTTTGCTGTAATTGCAAAGTCGCCAATCGACGTCTGGCCAATATTTGTAGCTGGTTAGAGTTGCAGTTGCAGTTGCAGAGAGAGAGAGAGAGAGAGCGAGGTTCCGGGCCATGACTGTCATATTGAATGGCCAGAGCCAGCCGTCCCTTGGCCATCCCTTTCTATCTTTCTGTAGGATAAATGGTTGCAGTATGATTGGAGGGAGGAGGCAGGGCTGTGGGGTCGCTGTGGCAGGACCACAAGCAGGCTCGGCTGCCTGGCATAATGGTAATTTTCTGATTTCGATTTTGTGTAAATTCATTGCAAACTCCGACCAAGCTCGAGAGTCTGGGGTACTGCTGCTGGTCATCTCCCCAGATTTCTCCCTTGTTCTCTCTCTCTCTCTCTTTCTGCCTCTCCCAATCCTTGGCCGTCTTCATCATCGTCATCATGTCCACTGTGTGCATTGGAGCGTTATTAGCATCGACTTCATAACGAATTATTGGACTTTCATCGTTACGTGTGTGTGTGTATGTGTGTGCAGGGGTCTCTCTCTCTCTTTCTCTCTCTCTGTCTGTCTTCTACCATTTTCCCATCTTTCTCTGGATATTTTCCCTATCTTCAATGCCTTTCTTGCTTTTTCTGCCTCGTTTTGTGTTGGTTTTAAATTGATTGAATTATTATTGTAGCCATGCAGATATTTTTTGGCCTGCTGCCGCCTTGGGGTTAAATCTTACAGCAATTTTCCTTGATTAGGCCAAGGCTAATAATGGTTCGACTTTTTGGCCAAACATTTGCTCACATGTCAGTCGGAATAGTCACATTTGTCTTGTCAGTAGACTTACATACATAAAGGTAATTGAAAGTTCAGTTTGTTGTCTGGGTGTAAGTACTAAAGAGTAGAAAGAATTTTGTACTGCCCAAAAAGGCGTTTCCTATGCAGATTGGAATGTGGATTAGAAAAGGAATAATTTAAAAGGCATTCCATTTGAATTATCTAAGACCTCGCTTGTAGCCTCTTTTCTCGCCGATCTTTAATGATAATTTTTAATGTAAAGAGCAATGCAAAAAGGTCAAAATATGTGCTTCAGTTTGTTCTTTTAAGCTGTGCTTGGTTTTTCAGTTGGTGCAGAGAAAAAGTTCGACAGCATTAAGTGCAACTCAATGTTAATTCTGATCCATTTCGGCCATGCCCTGTGTTGCATTGTTCGGGGCTCAAACAGTCTCATGCACACACCCACACCCACACACATACAGTGAGCGATAAAAGTTTTATCAACATTCGCTGATGTGTCCTGGCATCCGCTGGATCCTTCTCGCTTTATAATCTGCCAACAATGAACAAAAGCTGCCGCTTGTCACAGCAAAAGGGAAGATATTCCCCCTCTCAAACCTTTTATGCTTCCACCCCTTTTGTGATAGTACGAGTACATTTGTATGTATATATGTATTTCCACTTAATTGTGAAACAATTTAAGCGCATAATCTGCAGGTCCGGCCCCCTGTCCCCCATTTGATTTATTGGAATTTAAAGCATTTGGCATATTACAAATAAATTATTAAACCATGGGAGGCTTTTAATTTGCAATACAAATACGTTGCCTCATAAATCGCTAGAAATGAATAAATAAATAAAAAATAATTCTAACCTTTGGGGACACTTTTCCTTGACAGAAATCGTAAATTTTACCACAAAGTTGAACAGAGAAGACCTCGAGTTGAGTTATGAGCTTATCCAAGGCAAACTTCTTATATATACTCGTACACAAATATATATATGTATATATGTGCATACCAATAAAAACTATTGACAAACTTGAGCATGTCCCAGCTTCTTTCAATCCGTGAGCTGTTGTTGTCTTACGGCTAGGATGAGGATGGGTTCTGCAGGATGCTGCTCTGCAGGAGCAGGTCTAAGCGAGTGTTATGATTGTCAAATATTGAGTCATTTGCTCAAGCTGTTCTCGCAAGGACACACAACAAGGAGAGGAGCTGCTGCTCTCCCCATCTGCCCATCCTTGGGGGCTGTTGTTGATTTAGGCTAATACGTTTATGCATAAACTTTATTATTTATGATTAGCAATATTAGCAAATAAGGAAGACAAGTGGCCAAGTGGACAGACAGGCGGCCGGCCGACCAGGGAGAGTTTTAAGTCGATGTCAACCAGGGGGCTTGGGTCATCTAATGCCCTACAAAGCGAACACCACATGTACTTATTTACTGTGAGCGGCATGCGCCCAGCCAAAGCCAAAGATTGTTTGCTAAATTATTAAAAATAATTCAGAAAAGGTCAAGATAAGGACAGCAGCACCAGCACTAGTCCCTGTATCCTTTTTTGGCCTGCTACAAAATGCATGAGACAGAATGTCCAACTAAATTGAATAAATGATTAAACTGAAACTTCAGGGTTGCTCTGAGGTTGGGGTATAAGTAGAATTCGGGTTCCTGGAACTGAACTGAACTGACCAAATCATACCCATATATATACATATGTATATAGAACATACATATATAAATACATAGAGAGAGGAACGGCAGCGGATATAAATTTTCCGTTTCGGTCAAGAATTTATGTGGCCAGGCCATGACACGCATTATTTATACAAGTTCGAGGGATCGGAGGGCGGTGCCACAAAACCGCGTCAGCAGTTAAAATTGCCCTTACTGAAAAAACGTTTTGAAAATAAAAAGGAAAGCGTGGAGCAACCCTGGAGAAAGGGGAAATGGAAGAGGAAGAGGAAGCCCCGGACACAACACAAACCTGCGGTTAGTTACGAGTCCATATACATAAAACTCGTAGTAGAACTGCACAACGACAACAATGAACAGTGCAGCAGGCAGCAGGCAGCGGGACAAAAAAATTGAAAATATTTAACTGCATTTTAAAACTGAAACGAAAGACAAAACAACGAAAAGAATTGGATTTTCAGATGGCAACATGCAACGCTCGGAAATACTAGAGGGGGGGTTAGGGTACGTGTCCCATGCCACTGGATGTAATGGATGCCATGCCCCAAAAACTGTGACGCTGCTGGTGCTGGTGCTGCTGCTGCTGCAGCCTGTACACATGTCAAGCGCCAAATGAAACCTCAACGGGACAGGGACACGACCGGACAGGAATGGAGAGGAGTAGTTTTGGGACGAGCACCGCAAAATGTCAGCGCACGCCCCACGCTTGTTAAAATTTATTGTTGCACAAAGAGCCAGCCGATGGGCAGGGACATGGACATACCAGTCTGACACAGAGCCTACAGCCAGGAGAGAGCTAAACTAATAGAGGTTTATGATTTTCCAGCAGAGAGCAGCAGGAAAGTGCACCAACTAGTTAGCAAAGGGAAATGAAACCAATGAAAATCCCGACAGTTTGGAATTGGAGAGCGCTGTACAGGTTGATGGAGAAAAAGAGCATCTATGAATAATAAAGGTAGACTCTTTATAGAAGGAAGAATCGAAAATGCAGGATAGACTCTAAGCAGATGTATTTAAACATAAATGGAAACCATTTTGGGATTAAATTTTATATTGTACTTATTTTTAAATGCTTCCAATTCAACGAAGATCAGACATTTGTATCTTTTAACTATTTGCATTTCAACACTTTGTACAAACATTTTATTTAAGCTTCAAATGAAAACGGGGAGCATTAAGCAATAAGGGAAGTGAGGGAAGTGTATCAAAAGCAATTTATCCGTTGCCAGTCAATCCCAAAAACCAGCAGAGATAAAGATACAAATGCAGATACAGATACAGCAGCTCTGGCTTAGCTATAAAAAGAGAGTGGGAGCGAGTGGCACGCTCAAGCATATTGCACAAGTCAATTACAGGGATTTAGTGAGCTTTTTTGTACATTCTATTTAGCAAGGATTTTAGTGTTGGCATTACGACGATGAGGATGAAGAGTCCAGAGCCCAGACCCTACCAAAATGTAGCCGCAAAATTTGCGATAAAAATATACACACACACACACACAACACACTATACTTATACATGTTAGTACTTTCGTACATGTTAAATAGTTTTTCCTTTTTGTCCCAATGACGACGGGCCCCAGCAACACGAACAGCACTCAAGCTTCCAATCCTAGGATCGGCATGACAGAAATACGGACCACAGACACAGACACACACACAGGCGCACAGTTCAATTCAATTTGCTGGGCTAATGTGGTATTTGTCAACGGAGGACCAAACAGAAAATTACAGAATTACTCGGACATTGATTGAATCGAACGACGAGACGACAACGAAAGACCGACGACTAAAGCTGCCAATGATGACAGGCCAAATCACAGGGCCAAGTCCTCACGGCTGCTGGCTCCTCCGGACGCGCACCCTTCAGCTTGGGCATAAAATTATAGCAGAGAAATGGAGTGCAAACCGTCCCACGGGACAATTCCCTCCCCGCTTCACGTTGGTCGGCGAAACTATTTTTATGATTACGCAATATACATTTTAATAAATTAAATTCTTTGGGTCTTACCTGCATGAAGCCCTCGGGGCACCCGGGCAGCTCGCCAGTGGGACTTAGATTCGTTTCATAGCCATCCACATCGGTATCGACCATGCCCTCGTCGAAGCGTCCCACCGTAAAGCCATCAAAGATGATCTGCCAAAAGGGATACGAGTATGTGGTGAAAAAAGCGGTACGTGCATATAAAAATGTTTATGTAAATATTGATTAAGTGGCGACTATTGGATACCCTGTGGTGTCAATAATTAAATGCCGTTCGGTATTACTGGGGCTTCAATGTGCAACTTAGCCACATAAAAGATTTTTGTGAGACATTAAAATGTATAAATAATTCCATATATGGGTAGCCAAAAATTCTTTATGCCCATGCTCATTCCCAACATGCCAGGGTATTAAAACTATATTTTATATTTGCTTAAAGTTATGCAAATGAAATTCCATTTGCAAAAAATGTAAGGGGCCGCCACGCATCATTGTGACTAGTCCGCATCCGCCCACAGTTTGCATATTTGATTGGCCATAAAAAAAAAGAAAATTCCTGGACACACACACACATACTCGGAGAATGCCTCGATGCCAACAGGAGTCAAGTCAAGGTCGTAGCGAGAATGTTGTAAGGCTGAAAGTCAAGTGTCTAATCTTATATGCAATATGTACAGAGTACATTATTTACTCGTATGTACGAAACACTTGTAATTCTCCCCAATAAAATATGCAAATAAATGTTTGCATTTGTGTATGTGTGGGTGTGTGCTGAAAATTGAAAAGAAAACTCCAATAAAGGGTTGCAGCAGCAGCATCAGATTTCATTCCAACACCTCTACGCAACCAAAAGGAGAGCAGAGTTCACTTCCAATTTCTAATATTAAACAACGGAAAATAGTGACAGGCCGGCCTGAATGAAAATGCGGAGGAGTCTGGCATGTCATGGCATTTGTGGCTTCATTAGGAGCTGCCACTGGACAGAGTGGCAAATTCGGGGAACAGGGAACAACTTTTCCATTTCAAGTTTGGTTTGCTTTGGACCCTTGGGTAAATGAAGGAAAGTAATTTATGTGTGCTCTGCTGCATGCTTTTTTGTGAAGTTTTCCCCATATTTTATGGCCAACGGTTTCAGCGCTGCCAGAATTTTCTAATTTTTGACCTGACAGTGGAGGAAACCTTGATGAAAGTTTGCATCACCAGCAACACTTTTTTAATTGAATGTCAAGTAATGTCAACCCTTTTCATTTCTGCTTTGTATGCGGCATTAAGTGTACACTTTATTTTGAACTTCCAACACAATAAAACACTTAGGAATTGATCAATGAAAGTGGAACAAAAAAAACTCAAGTTGTGTTTACTGAAGATATCCGCAAACATTCGATATATTCGTGCAACCTAATTGCTATAATAATACGCGTATAACCAACAAAGATTTCTTTACTGAACGCTGATAAAAAATGTTTATAAATATTTTTAATTTACTGCGAAAAAATATATTGCACACTGAAATTATTTATCATCAAAAAAAACTCCATTGATTTATGCCTAGAGATATCTGGTTCTTTATGCTGGCTGGAGTTTTTTGTGTGTATATTTGTATACATATTCATGCCCGGCCATTAAAGAGCGTGAAAAACGATTTTTAAATGCAACAAAAAAGGTGGAAGGACGAGGGATATTTGATTAAAGCAAACAAATTGCAGAGTTTGGGTTAAGCTACGAGTATTTCCATTAAAAATTTGCCCATGGGCAAATGGCAGAGTCCCAGGCAATTTAAACTTCACCATTGGGTTGGGACGCCTCTGCATCTGGCTGGGATGGGTCTCTGGGCTGACAATCATCAATCAATATGTACAAACAGACAGGAGCAACAGCAACCAACGTTGTCCGCCCACATCGTCCCCGTCCCCGTCTCGTCCTCACAAATATCTAACATTATTATTTCAAGCAATTTCCCACACAGACGCACCCAGGGTGAGAAGCAGGAAAATGGCAGAGCCGTGTCGAGTGCGAGGGAAAAACAGGGAAGCCAAGTGAAAGCCAACCACATGATTTATATGCCACGAGGATGGCGGATGGGGGAACGGGGTTAAGGTTCAAAAATGTGGTCTACAAATGCGGAAACACAAAATAAAAAGTTATAACTTATGCATGACAGATTTCTGCAAAGGTGCAAAGCCGAAGAAGGAACATTTTCCATACATACATACTCGTATATCATTTCTGCTACTTATAGAAATTACGACGTATATGTACGACGAATTGGGGAATGGCTGTGGAACTGTTTTGCTATGACTACAACTTCCTGGAAGATCCTGTCTGTGGAGCTTAAGCTGAAGGGCAATCTCAATCCCAATCCCCATCCCCATCCCATTCCATCTCTCGTTTAGAGCGCTGCTGCTCATTGCGATATTTACGCAAATTGCTTGGGAAATCAATTATACTTGAAATTGAAATTGACGTTTTTCTGACAGCTCGCCAAAAATGTTTTGAAGCGTGTCTAATTTCATTGTCAACGTTAGTCCCTGCCGTACTCTTTTCTCTCTCTTTTCTGTTAGCTGCTCGTTTTACTGGATTTTCTAACCCTCAGTCACGCCTACATATATCCATGGTGCCCCCCCCACAAGGGCTCTTTAACGGAGCTGGTACTCTTGGACTTTAAGAGTGTGGAGGACAGCACTCGGTTATGGGCTCTGTCGGGAGTCCTAATTAAGCACGCACAGAATGCCAGACACCCCAAAAATGTCAGGAGATATGACATCGAGGCGAGAGTCGGGAGTACACACAGAGCACAGACTTGAAAGCCTGCACTCCGTAACAGAGAAGCGAAATATGTTTTCGCTGTGTGGAAATCATTCAGAGATAAAGTATTTTTGTGTCCCCTCTTTTTTGTTTTAAGCTTTAAGCCTTTGGGTGCTTGATTGAGGGATGTGAAGTATGATTTTGAAAGTATTTTTGATAACTACAAGTGCTGGCAACTAGCAAGATTATCTTCACTCAGAATAAGTGGAAATGAACAGATTTATTTATCCCATTTTTAAACCAATTCATTTGTAAATTAAATGCCTTAAATCTGAAATCTCCTGTCAACGGGAATTCGCATACAGTGCCATACAGTACAGGATTGCAGGCACACAGACACTACTGACAGCTCTCATCCGATATGTAGGACTGTGCCTTGCTTGTGGGAGGATTCTACTATGTCTCGAAATATTTCACGGTGGTGCATTTGTGCGTGCCGCTGCCTGACAATACTTCCAGTCCCTCTGTCTGTTTGTCTTTCTGTCTCTGTGTGTGCGTGTGCGTTGGTTCCTGTTAGAGTGTCCTCTTCCGCCTCGGCTCCTCCATCCCCCACGGCCAAGTGCATGGATGTGTGTGTGTATGCAGTGCACTTTTATGTCGCTGACGCACGGCTAATCTTTGGCCTACGGGCGCACTAAAGCCAACAACGGCCAACGGACAATGGACAGTGCAGACACAGCGCGGACAACGGATACAACAGGAAAACCCCGGCAAACACTCCGGACAGTGTCCCGAGCCCCCGAGCCACCGACCCCGCGCTACGGCACACCACCCTCTTACTCACCTGAACGATGTCGCCTTGATCATGACCGGATGCTGTGAATGTCAAGTGACAGAGGAATGGCAATTTATTCCACTGTGGCGTTGGCACTTTTATGGCATAGGTGCGTCCAATATCCCCATAATATGTGCGATTGCACACTGTCATCGTGCAGAGAGAGATAGAGAGGGAGAGAGAGAGAGAGTGAAACATATAGTACGGGATCCTTCTCGTTAGAGCAGGCTGCCATGATTTACTCACCCGAACAATGTTTGGGCTCGTCGCTGCCATCGGCACAATCGCTGCGTCCATCGCAGTATTTGTCCAGAGGAACGCAAATGTTGCCACTGTTCCCGCTACCCTTGCAGGAGAACTCCGAGACGCGGCACGCCAGACCCAGAGTGGCCATCAGGAGCAGTGGCAGCAGCACCGCAAGCAGCAGCAATTGCAGCTGGCATGCCGATGCATGCATCCGATGGTGGCAGTGTTTTTGGCGTCTCCCCATGCTGGGCATATCTGCAAGGAGGCCAAAGCGAGGCGATGAATGGAGATTAGTTGAGTCAACAAATTGTCAGGTGATGTGCAGGAATCGAGGGGCTCCAGTCAACTGGAAAATGAGATGGCGGTTGGGGTGCTGGTTGAATTGTGTGCGTGTGTGACCCCCAGATGACCCACGTGAATGTGTACCTTAAAGTCCACACTGGAGAATAGCTTGAGGGTGAAATATTCATATTCCCATTTCTCCCATTTCCAAAAAAATCATCTGCCAACTCTTCAGCATTCCCTTTAATTTCTCAACTTTCTCTTTTTTTTATCTCCTCCCACTTTTTCCCCTTGCCTTCGCCCCAGTCTCCCCAACTAATTATTTTAGCTTTCAGCTTTGGAATATTTCCCGTTGGCCACTTGTAAGTCTCTAGAACAAAGACGGGGGTGAAAACGGGAGGGAAGTCAATCCCCGAGCAGCAGACGGCAGTCCCCAAAGCAGGGGCTAAGTATATGAAAGTGTTCCCGGCTGGTATTATCTTCATTTCTTAACCCTCGCTGAAAGACGACACACACACGTACAAACACATGGCAAGTGTTCCGTTCCACTCAGAAGAGGGAAGGACACAATTATAGCACAAGTCGAGCGGGAAACATATTGACAGGACGAACCCACAGGGGGATTCCCCTACTCAGCACGGATAGAGCGAGAGATAAAAGGGAAAGGGAAGCCAGGCGTTATGAGTGTTTTCCCGCTCGACACGCGCCGGTCTCTGTCTCCCTGCCACATTATTATGCTTTATTTCCGTATGCCCTCGCTCTTGCTCTTGCTCTGGCACTCGCACTCGCCTGCTTTACTTTTATTAAAAATGTCGTCAAATCTACATATAGAAAGAAGTCCGGGGGGAAGTCTCGTCGCCGCTTAAGACGCTGTCTCGGCATGTTGTCTTGGACGTTTCTCTGCCCTTTTAGTTCTTCCCCAAGCCGTTTCCATCTGGCCTGGTCCTGGTCCTGGTCTGAAGTGTTTACAACACTTCCGGCATATAATGGAAAACAAAAGGCTTAAAAGCGGATACACAAAGGATTTGAGCAATCAAGTGCGCTTCTGAGAACGCAGACCGATAACAGTTTTCTTTTTTTTTTTTTCATTTTCATTTTTTTTGTTTTCCTCTGCATCTTTTACCCTACTCGTTTTTTTCCACCTGCCATTAACTTGGACGAGGCTCAATGATGGCAAGAAGAGGAAAGGCTCTTTCGCCCACAGTTTGTTTCAAAGTCATAACAATGCCGAGTTTTCAATATACGGATCCCACACGTATGAGTCATAAACTTCTCCCTCGAGTGTGTGTCACTGTGTGCTATGTTCTGGCCTGGCACGGACAGGGCGAAAAAAGGCATAAAACTTCAAGTAGTTACGTCCAAATGTCTGCACGGTCTTAGCCAGCTCGACAGCAACAACAGTAAAAGCCAAAAGGGTGGAAAGTGCGAGAGAAAAATGCGAGGGTTCTAGGGGTCTGCGTTTGCCTCTGATGCCTTTTATGTCTAAAGTTTCACTCGAACATGCAGGAAAAAATACATTTAAATTCTATGGGGAAATGCAGTGCAGGAGGCACCTATGGTGCAAATGGATCCCGAAGGCTGAAAAGGTATTTTAATTTTAAACTCCACTGGATTTTGGGAAAAATATCACCACTAGAAAAAAACTATTCCCCCAAAACTAAAGACAAAGTTAATTCAATGCCATCGCTCAAGCTGACTGTTTGATTGAGCTTAAGATTTTAGTTACACTCGACTGGACGGTGGATTTCATGAATAAAGCTGCTGTTGCTGTGCAGGAAGTATAATAGCTCGACCGAAGAATGGAGTGCAGACAAGTAGTCCAAGGATAATCGCTGGCAACGCAAACGCCCGCACAGGTCCAGCAAAAAAACATGGAAATGGCTTGTACGAGCTATCCCCCTGACCACATGCCAGCAAAACAGGAAGAAAGGAAGCTACAGAAGGAAGAAGCCAAACAACAAAGGGCGAAGCACCACCAAACGGAGAAAAGAAACACTGGACGAGAGAGAAGCTACCGGAAGAATGGCGGCCATGTAAGCCAAGTAATTTTATACAAAAATCCTCCATTTCCATTTCATTGTTGGCTCTGGTTGATCCTGTCCTGCTGTCCTGCTGATGCTGCTGCTAAGGCTGCTTCATGTCGGTTAGCTACTTCAATGCTACTCCATTCCCATTCCAATTCCAATTGCCGTTTCCATGGCCATTTTCCACGCCATGGTTTTCTCCGCACATCCCAAAGATTGTCGTGATTCGAAGGTCTTTCATTACATTTATGGGCACAGAGGCAGACCAAAGGCAGGAGCAAGAGCAAGCAGCCTTTGCCTGACTTAATCCAATCAATGCACTCTCATGCCTCGACACAATCAAATTCTAGTTACAATTTGAAGTCTCCTCACACACACACACATATGCAGAAGCACGCATCCACATCCACGCAATTAGAAAGAAAGAGAGAGAGAGAGAGTGAGAAGGAAACGGAAACTACATATGGAACTATCATCCTGCAGGACGACTGAAAAGGACAGGACATGACAGGACATGAAGGACAGGCTGGGTAAAAATTTGCCACAATTGACAATGAATTTATGCGATGCTTATGAAAGGCTTACGGGGTAAGTCGCTTTTACCGAATGACAGAGTTTCACTCTCTCTGGGAAAGGGAGAGGGAGACCGTAGATGAGCGACAGAGGCAGCTAAAAGTGATAGAAGAGCGACAGAGACAGCTTGAGGTGATGACGGGCACAGAGGGAGACAATGGCAATGATGCAGGCGATGACAATGTTCCTGGCCTGGTCCTAGTCCTTCTCTAAAACCCGTAAATAAAACGCATCTAGGGCAAAAAAATCTTACGTTGAGAGCAGCACAAAGGGAAGAGGGTGGGGAGAGGAGTGAAGTGAAGTAAAGAAGACCTTTATTAAAGAGGAGAGGAAAAAATGGAAATTCTTTTGCTGGTAAAAATTACTCTGAAATGATGCTGCAAATGAGAACATTTGTATTTTTTCCATTTTCCCTGGGAAAATGTTTTTTTTACCAAACAGGATGAAAAAAACAATAATATTTATAATTAAATTAAGAAAGAGCAGCATTTGTGGGGAGTGGGGGGGAAGTACAGGCCAAAGGCGCTTCCAATGGCCAGAAGGCGTCAGAAATTAGCATAACAAAGCCATTAGGGGAGAGGGACACAGAGCAGCAGCACTGGATTGTGATTTCAAAGGCGAAATCCACAGTGGAAACGGTGGCAATGACAGAGGCACAAGGCCAGGAGACCCAACAGAACAGTGGGGCGTGAGTGCGGTTCGTGGGAAAACGCTGCTGGGCAACGGCAGAAAAACGGCAACACAAACACAAACAGACTACGAATGTCATCCGCAGAGCAGGAAACAGCCTACACATAGGGAAAATGGAAAACACACAATGAAAACAGACACCCAAAATAACAGAAAATAACACCAAAAATTGATTAAATTCATGCCTAAATGTGGGTCCTCTGAAACGATCAGTTTAGTGCCCAGTGCAAAATGATTTTCATTTAAATTTTTCAAAATATATGTATATATTTTTCTTCCAGTGTAGCTCTTTGCGCTCTGGCATTTTTTCTCTTCTGCTTTTCCGCTGTCTACGTGGGAAGCTACTTTTTGAGTAATGGCCAAGATTACGCTGCAATGTAAGGGCGAGCTGGATGTGGTGGAGAAGAGAGCATGGAGTAGGATAGAGACGAGGGCCTGCCGCTTGTCTTTGCACAATTTAAAGTTGGTGTCACGCATCACGCTTCGGTCTAATGAGTCTCGTTTCTCCTCTCGTTTTCGCCCCAGCGTCCCTATCGTGGCTCTGTGGCAACGTTGCAACGTGATTTGGCCAACGCAGAACTCAATCAAGCTGTGGCCCAGAGGGAGACGAGACGAGAGTCACAGTCAGAGTCAGAGTCAGACGGATAGAGGGCACGCCCTCTAAAGTATTGCGGCGGAGACATTGTGGCGTATGAGCAATATATAATTGGGAATTGGCTGCCACTGAATTAATCAGAGGAGAAGCAAAAAAAAAACGAGCATTTCAGTGTCATCATTGGAGATGGCATTGGCTGATGGCCTTGGATTGAAGATATATGACTATAATCAGTACTATCTTTGGCCATTTCTCTTGCACTATGTTCCACTTGCCTGCACAGAAATTTAATCAAGTTTTCCTTTGGCTACAACCGTCGCATTTTACACCCCAAGTCATTTGCCTTATGATATGACTTATTTGCCACACACTATGGCCATCTCGCTTGCCCTTAACTATTTCTCGTGCTGGGGGGAAATACCAAAAGTCATGACCATTAAAGTTGGCAAACATAAAACTGACGCAGTTCCACCAGTGCTGCGAGTTTTTGCCACATTAAAAATGTAAACTTAATTTTAAAGCCAAGGCGGAGGGACCTCTGGGAGTCAGGCTCTCTCTTTGCGTGTGGAGTGGAGAATGGAGGGAGTGTGCAGGGAATTTTTAGTTGCGAGTCGGAATTGGTAGTGGAATTGCTAGTGGTAGTGGGGAGGAGGAGCCATGGCAAGGCAGTCTCATACAACTATAATGCCGAATCCCGACGGTTCTTTCTCTGAGAAAACATTTCGCATAAAATGCCAAATGCTTTTGGTTCTGTAAGCATGTGTATGGGCGTGGGCTCTGCTCGTAAAGCAAACGATTGTGTAGCCCAAGCTACAACACTGACAACAATGTAGGCACCGCCGTCGTGGACCGTTTTTATGCCCGGCCAAAACTGTAAAAAGGCCGCGGCCGCTGCCGTTGCCTCTGCGCCAAGTTCTTTTTGCCCCCCGCTCCTGTCAGAAAGCCGAACAAATTGCATATGAGCATTTTGCATTTTCAATTTAAATTTTTCGCGCTCACTTCGCCAGGAATCCCAAAAAAAAAAAGAGAAAGGATACAAGCAGCTGGCCGTAAAGGGTGCAAATTGAAATTCACGCTATTCCTGCATATAA